GTGAAATACATGCACGATACCAAATGAAAAGATAAAATATTTTAAGGACATCATTTGAAACCTTTTCAAATCAATTTCGTACGACGATTTTTTTTATTATTATGTCTTTTCAAGGTATCCCATTCAAGTTCAGAGGATGTGCTTAACAGTAATAGTGAGGGTAAACAAAACTTATTTCTACTGAAAAAAGAACAGTACATATACTTAATTATTTTAGCTTCTCAGAGGATGAAATATTTATATAACTTTACCTAATTAGTATGAACTTTTCAAATTTTAGAGCCAGTAGTATCAAATAAATACAGTATCCCAAGGTTAAGCTTACCGGTAAGTTTTTTAACACTTATAATCAAAAATCAATCTTGACGTAAAATGAATTTTCAAGAAGACACTATTTTGGTAACATTTTATTTAAAATCTCTGTTTTGCTTTGGTTATTTTTTCAATTCCGAGAAGGGTGAGGACAGATTTCAATTTCAGGTTCCAAATAACAATACACAATTTTAGAGAAGAAAGAATAGAAGTGAATACAAGAAGAGGGGAAGTTGTCTTCTTCCTATTTTAATGTTTGTCTGTTTTCTTTACATTGTATTGGTAGGAAAACAAACAATATTAATGATTTAATATATGTTCTGCAATACGACAGTGTTTGCTATGAATTGTTTAAATATAATAATATTGAAGTATCATAAGAATTGTTGTATTTTTATAGTTTTGTACTGTATAGTTTATAGACTTCCTTTAATCCAATGATTGTACATAGATCCAATTCTAATGTCTATCTGGAGTTTTTGTGAGTGTATATTTTCTTTCTCAATTATTAATAAATCATGTTTCATATTGATATCCGTCAAATATATCATCTACGGCAGTCTTCAGTTAAATATCTACCTGTCATCTAAATCGAACAAAAAAGGTACACAGATTTAACATAGAAGAGAAATATATAGAGGATATTCAATGTTTTGTAGTAAGATATAGAATTTATTTCGTGAGTCGGACAGGATTTTTTTTCATATTTTCACGAGTGCGAAGCACGAGTGAAAATATATATATTAAAAAAAATCCTGACTCATGGGTGAAATAAATGCCATACCTAACTACAAAACATTGGATTTTCTGTTTATTACATTTTCGCTGATTTTCCCTTTGCCTTTGTCTCTTCTTTATGCAGTGTCATAGGCTGTGACGTCATAATTGAGCGGTTGAGACGTTATATTATAATAGCTTAGTTGTGAGATTGAAAACAGTGTAACATGGATTTTAACAACGTATTTGGGAAGAAATTGGCAGTTTTAATTAGTCTCTATCAAGATGGTTTAGTTACTATCTCTATCTTATGACAGACCAAAAATTATTTTTTTACTTACTTTGATATCTTTTCACATTGTGACAGAATACCACTTTGTTATCATTTCAATCTGGTGAGAATATCACTTTTATTCAATAAATAAATCACAGTATTTCACCGTTGAAAATGTAATAAAATGCATTCTTTTAAAATCAACCAAATCATATCACTTTAAAAAAATTCTAAAGGAGTTTAATAAAATAATTACTATGTAAAATTTTCTTGTATTTAGAACACAAAATTCGTCGTTAGTTATATATGTAGACGATTTCTAACAATCCATAATTTTCCAACTGCAATATTAACGACTCCTTTTAAGTTAGAATTTTTTATTATAGGTCGTTATTCGTTTATTAAAGAATCTAAGATATGAATAGTTATGAAGGGAAATAAGGAAAGAAAATATTGGACCAATATTTACCGCGAACAAACTAGACTTAGATATTTATTTTAACTTTAATTCCATTTTATTTTATTCCAAGAGAAGAATTTAGTTAAGGCCGATTGACTACTTTAAGAGGGGTAAACAGAGGTCAAAGAAGGAAATGAATGAAGAGTTGTGAATTCTCAGTTTCGGAAGGAACTCATTGACTTTATTACAACTCTAGAGATTCTCTCAGTGCCCTTTATCGCCTTGTATCGTTTATGAAAGAATATTGTTGTTTCACTCTCAATGCAAACGGGTTCTTTTATTGACGGTTCTTAAGCGATGTCTTACACTTGTTAACTTAGGAGGACTTTTATCACAATTCATATATGGACAAATGAACACTAATGTTCTTACTTAAAATGTTTCTTGATTATGCATGCTTAAGTGTAAAAGACAGTTTTCGATGTAATAAAACTACTTTAGTGTTTAGGAATAGGATGGTAGTCACATGCCCTTCATATGCTGACCTCATCTGCACTTCTACACATTTTTAAACATAATACAAATGTCCGCCAGTGAATAATAAATTCCCGACTACAGTAGAATTTATTAATCGAGAAATAAATGAAAATAAATGAATCCAACACGATTTAATGAAAGTCTTCAGCCCTCATAAAGTATACGACTCAATTTTAGATTTATTTTTAGATGATCAAAATATTTTTAAAGTCAGACTTTTAAAAATAACTGATAGTTTGATGAAGAATAGTGAAGAAAAATCATTTAACGTATCGTGTGCATGTTTGTATGTTGTGTGTAAGAAAAAAATAAAAGTAATCAATTAGAAATCCCCTTGCTCTTTCCCTTCAGAGATGGTATATGTACACTGTTTCGACAGGATTAATACCACTATAGTTAGTCATAAAAGTAGAGTAAGAATTTATCATCAAATTTCATCGACGTAAAAGTCTAGGGAAACATGTATCAATTGAAGGAAAAATGGCTGGCTGGTTTTTTGATCAGTAAAACACAAATATCAATTAATTCTTAAACAGCGTACAAATACGATATCTCTGTACGTCATCTGGTTTTGCATTGTTTCTCAATATGCATAAATACCTTTCAAGCTTTCTATGATTAAAAGACAACTTCTTCTAGAATTTTCTGCTTTTAAGGAACCATCGCATTCTATTGCTAAATCGACATGGTATCAATTTCAAAGATTACAGAAATTTAACAAAAATGACCGACAGATGGAAAGGAATTGATCATTTTTCGCAATTTTTTCGCCTTTCAAAATCAAGTTATAGATCACATTTGGATAATCTCTAGAAATATCAACTATCTCGTGTGCCATTTATCTACCCGGTCAATATATAGGGCTCACGGTGGGTGTGAGCGGACAACAGGGGATGCTTACTCCTCCTTGCCACCCCTCCTATCTCTGGAATTATAAGGGTTCGGTGTTTTTTGTTGTTTTTTTTTTCCTTTTCACAGATTTGTATTGTTTCTAGATTTTATTTTAGATAGATCAATGCTCGTTATCTTCTATCTTCTGTTACATGTAAATGGTACATTCCCATTGATTTTAAAAATTTTAAAAAATTTTCATTGTATTTTTTTTTTCAAGTTGCAGATATCGTGCTAAGAAAATTTTTAGAAATGACACTTTCATGTGTAATGGTATTGTTCTATGAAAACAAATCAAAATATATCTTATATGGTTTAAAATGTAAGAAAACGGTTTAATTGGATTATTTACGAAACAATCTCTTACAATGAACAAATACTTCTGTCAAAAAGCTAATTAAAATGAATATCTTGTTTAACATATCCTTGGTTTGTTTGTCTGCCGGTTCATCCTTCAATAAATATGAAGGTTAATCACCCTTTTTTTTCCCTATATACAGTACCAGTTACAGTACAAGTTACAGTACAAGTTTGACTCTAATGATTTAACTCATATACGGTACAAGTTTGACTCTTATGATTTAACTCAAAAGTCCATTTATATATTACAAAATAAGAGCAGAACAAACTCGGGCCTCTAAGACATCAGAGATGAGATCAGGTGCCAAGGAGGAGTGAGCATCCCTGACGACCAGTTACATCCGCCGTGTGCTCCTTGTCATGATCGGGAAATAACGGGAAATTCCGTCGACAATTCAGTGTGTTAATAATGGCCTAACAATTATTATGAAAAAAGTCTGTCAGCATTTGACTAAATGAATGATTGTATTTGCTGACAAGGTCATTTATCGACCATAGAACTTAAGAGATGATGACTTTAAACGACACTGCTGATATTCTTGTTTCATCAACTTGTTTGTCAATAACTTACCTCGTTTAGAAATTGTTCATAGGTAGAGCAAGCTCTGGCGTATCGAATCAACTGAGAGATATAAACCACGTATGCAGGAGATAAGGGTATATTACTGCATAAGTAAGGGAAGTTGACGATTGAAAAGTTAAAGTCATCACGTTTATCATAAAGCTTGGTTGTTAGATTACCATTAACGTCTTTTTCAAGTAAAATATCCAAATATGAAACAGATGTGTTCGACTCTGTGGTACATGTATCTTCTATCTCAAGCTCATGGCACCTGATCCCACCTCTGATGTTTTGGAGGTCCGTGTTTGCTCTGCTCCTATTTTGTATTGTTTAATGGACCTTTGAGCTTGAATACTGTTCGTTATCTCCATATATTTCATTGCATACAGTACAAGTTTGACTCATGATTTAACTTGATATGAAATCAGTGCTGTTTGTAGAAACTGATGACTTCTAGAATTATGGCATGTTAAGGTTAACATCAAAATAAACATGTTGAAAGCATTAATGTGTAAATAACGTATTATATAGAACATTTCTGTCTTATTAAAGAGTAAAATTCCATTGCATTTTAATCTCAATTGTCAATTCAATTCAAATTAATGTTCTTGTTCTTTATTTCAAATTTTTACAATATTAGCTGCTATTGCTATATTTTTGCATTGGAAAGCTTTAAACTGAGTAAGCAAGCATAAAGTAACTTTTAGAAAAAATTGATGTACCATTAATTTTTTAAGTTAAATGCAAAACTGAAAATGCAAGTAGCAAACTTTCCCGAGTGGAGGAATGCATGAGGTCCTTTAATGAGTGTTATAGTGTCGTGTTCAGTAACTTCTGTGTATTGATACAGGATGCTGCGTCAAGTAGTGAAAACACAATATAATATCTAAGTTGTCGGAGTAGAAATTGAAGGAGAGCAGTTTTCCAACCTTAAGTAGAGTAAATCTGTTTCCGTTCCTGAGCTGCATAAATTCAACTGGAATAGTTTATCAACGAAGATAATGTAAGTATACCTCTCTGAAAATTCGCACAAAAAGTTTTTCTATTATTTCTAAAAATTAACCTATTTAAAAGAAATCTTAACAAATGAGTTTTACGTAATCATTTGGTGACCTACAGTTTAAGGTAATAATGTTTTATAACTTGTTTATGCATCTAACATTACAGGAGGCACGGATTCCAAGTCCTCACGTTGCTAGTAGCAGTCATTTTATTTCATATTTCAAACAACTTTATAAGAGCTCTCCCTGTATCTAGTGAGTGGGAACATTCTTATTCACATATAATTACCCGATAAAAAACTACATTTTATTAACAGACAACCATTCGTAGTTTTCAATTTTAACTTTTCTTAAAAATTGAGTCATATAGTCAGAGAAGAAAACAGTGATTACTGTTAAATACATTTGATAATTTTTATAACATTTTATATTTTCTATGACATAAAACTAGGCAGCATAAGAATAAACTTAAAGGAACAGCGTATAATCACACATGAAGGGTCAACAATGCAATTCGAATCAACCATATCCAGAAGGAATGAAAATATCAACAGCTGGAAATGGTTCCGTAATGGAAAAATGATCCCAAGTAATAAAAGATTTGAGAGCCAGCTGAAGAGTAATTATACCCAGGCCAACGAGTCCTTCATTATAATTCGTTTGAATGTCAGAGGAGTAAAACTTATTGACTCGGGTAAATCAAGTTTAAATATTGAAAGTACTGAATACGACATCCTTAGTGTTACAAAGAAAGAGAAGCTACAATTTAGGTCCTTAGTCATGTAGGATATCCTGTCATTTACCATAAGTCGTTCTCAGCGAGCGTTGACACAGATGATGAATAATACCTTTTGTTATTTGAGATTTTATTAAAAAATTCAGCTTTAACAAGATAACATTTTCCTATATAGAGGTATCTTAGAATGACATAATACTTAGTGTTCAAGAATGTATTACCAAATAGTTCATATCCAGGTCTAAATATTTTATAATGTTATTCTGTCAGATATAGGGGCTTCATTCATGAATATGTTGTACATTTTGAAAGATATTTATTTGTATATACTTTTAAAGGACATTCATTTTCATATCTATCAGAAACACTTTCTTACTTAAGAAATGCAGTCTAAATCTATATTTAGAAAATAGATACAAGATATAATGTGCATTAAATACTGGACTTTGAAGGAGTAAAATGGGTTTAGAAGATGGGGAAGTTTGGACACACTTACTTGTACTCTTTCTATGCACATTTAGTGGGGTTAATAACTCAAAGGTGTCTTTCGTATCTTAGACTAACCTTCAACTTAAATTAGCTATCGAAACATAGATACAGTTTTTATCCACAATAGCACAATTCAAAGGAAAAAAAAAGAGTTTCATCGGCATTGATTGTCATTTGACTATCAACAGTTTCTGTTGTTTTGTCCACTTTGGGCCCAGCTGGAATAAAAAGATTCTGGAAGACTGTATTGGTTTTGATATTGCCTAATCGGTTCTTTTGTTTAAAATTACTGTTCGTTGTCTACGGAAGCGCTGTAGTGCAAACCAAATACAAAATAAAGAACTGAAAATACAAAATTAAAAAACTGAAACTAAATAAAAATTACAAAATAAAAAAAAAATAAAAAACGAAAATACAAATAAAAAACGAAATTATTAAATAACAAAAAACGAAATAACAAACTAACATACGAAACTTAGTTGTGCATGCATGGTAAGGTCGTGAACCCATGAATAATTCCTTTAAGTGCAAATGTTATAAAGCATTACTTCTATATATAGACCTGATTTGCTTCGACATTAATACAAGTGTGATAACATTTTCATTTGCACTCAGCTTTTCTCATATCAATAACATAATAGCCAGATGGAGTAGACGATCAGAGAATCAAGAAGAATTTTACCTTTGTTATCTAATATGCTTGGATCTATGTTATTTATGTTGCATAAATATGAAGTTATCATGCATGCACAGATAAATTCCGAGTTTTAGTTTCGGTTTTTTATTTTGTAATTTCGTTTTTTTTTTTTCTTTCTTTTTTTTTTTTTTTTTTTTTTTTTTTTTTTTTTTTTTTTGAAATAATTTATTTTTTAATTTTGTATTTTCGTTTTTTTTTTTTTTTTTTTTTTTGTTTTGTTTTTTTGTTTTTTTGTTTTTTTTTTGTTTTTGTTTTTGTTTTTTTTTTTCCCCTTCATTTTGTATTTTTGTTTTTTATGGAAGTTCAGCTTTTTATTTTATATTTTTGTTTTTTTTATTGATAATTTTGTTTTTAATTTTTTAATTTTCGTTTTTATTTAATAACTTCTTTTTTTATTTTTTATTTTCTTTTTTTAATTTAACAATTTCGTTTTTTTTTTCTTTTCTTTTTTTTTTTATTTGGTAATTTCGTGTTTTATATAGTATTTTCGTTTATTATATAGTTCTGGTTTGCACTATTGGGCTTTAGTAGTTGTCTGCACATTTCATGTTAAAGATTTTTTTCGATTACCCAAAACGATAAATTTCCTTAAACGGAGGCCTTCTTTTAAGGCTCTTTAACTCAAAAACACAAGAGTTTGTCATCAAATACATTGAAAAGTCAATAAACAGTTTTATTGAATAATTTCCATCTCTCTGATTGGCTGAGATCCAACAATGTTAAAAAATACTGCGTTATATTGACCTGCACGTGACATTCCAGGTCAATATAAGGAATTATTTCCAGGTCAATATAAGGAATAATGAATTCTACATTGGATCAAAAATAGATAATCATATAATAAAAGTTATTGCTGTTCTTTGAGGTCAATACGATGATTTAGATACCTTCGAAGTACAATATTCACCTCGCCCTTCGGGCGAGGTGAATATTGTACTCCTCAGGTTTCTAAATCATCGTATTGACCTTAAAAATACCCGTTAGCAATAATTGTATTTTATTTCCATTCATACCTTGGGCCATTGCTTTGCAGTGCTCATTGCAATATGATGATGAATATACATATAGATTGATTTCTTATATACAGGTAATTGGACAGTTGAAGTGACGAGTTCCAATAATTATACAGTTTCACAGACGGCATCTGTCACAGGTATAGTGATGATATCTAAACTTGTTCTTGATCTATTCACATTAATTTTTATGTGACATAATTTTTATGACGATTTTTGTTTTCAATGTGTAACGTTTTGGGTTTTATAAGTAAATAAAAATAAATTCGCTGCCACCAACTGTAACGTGTAATTTTACATCAACTCGGTACCTATGAGGCACGTTACAATAGTTGGGTTCGAAGGTACCTAGTTTTAATAAAGGAAAGAAATATATATAAACAGTTAATACATATATTAATTATAGCATCAGTACATATATTTATTATAGCATCAAAGACAATAAAGTTCAATAAATATTTAAAATGTCTCTTCAATATTAAGTATACTGCCGAAATTCCACGGAGCTCGGTGTTCGGTGCTACTCGATGATTCTCGGTGCTCGGGCCTACTCGGTGTTCGGTGCTACTCGGTTTCCGGTGCTACTAGGTGTTCTGTACTACTTCTCGATTTCCGGAGCTTCAAGATGTTCGGTGCTATCTGCTGCTACTACTAAGTATAACTATACAGGCACAATCAGGAACTCTGATACTGTAATCAGAACTATATCTGAAATCCAAATATCTACTGCTTAATAACAAAAAGTCCACCCCCCATCCTATGCTAGCATGTCATGCGTACATAGGAAAGTTCTTGTGCTAATGCCAACCATCATTTATAACCTATGCATCTTAGTTCTTTAGCGAAAACATAACTATGAAACATACATTAAAGGTTTGCTATGCAGACGCAACAAATGATTTCCATGGTTTGCAATATTTCCTTGATCGACATTAAAATCATGTTCTGTACCAATTTTGATGCACCAGATGCGCATTTCGACAAATTATGTCTCTTCAGTGATGCTCATGCCGAAAGGTTAGAAATCCAAAATAGCTAAATTAAAGAAAATTCGGAGAGCTGCAAAAAGGTGCTAAAGACTGGAGCCAAATACGTCGAAGGGACAGAGCTATGCATGAGGGAGATAATTCTTAATTTTGAAATAATTTTCTAATTTTACCACAGCAATTAAATATATATCTGTATTATTTTCCAATCTAGTTTAGAAGTTCTTTGCTACTGGGCCATAATGAAAATCATATACGGTACCAATTTTGATGCACCAGATGTGCATTTCGACAAATTATGTTAAATTAAAAGTATTAATTGGAGGTAAATTTTATTAATCAAAGATTACAAAAGAGAATTGTATGTGCAGTTTTTTTTTTTTTCTCTATAATCTACAATATCTCATAAGCAAAGTTAAGATTTTCTTTTTCTTTTTTTAATTTAATTAATTGACAAAAATCGCAACATTTAAACTTGTTACAAACCATATCTGAATGAAGTTGGACAAAAGATAAAAGTGACAATCCTGTTCCATTTTCTTGAAAATCTATTTTCTCGCTGAATTAACACTTCCCTTATACTCCTAAGTTAATGTACATTCCCTTGTTTGTTCAGATGAACTCCGTCGCATACAAGTTTCTGACTATAATCTCCTTCACTTGGAGAAACAAAATAATTCCCGTGTTCCCAAAACACACAATAATTGAGTGATGGCAATGGACCTCTCAAAATTGCATTCACTCTATCTTGGCAATAATTTGCAAACAATTATTTTCGCTATATTATAGCGGTGATGCATCACCGGTACCACAGTTTCAATTCAGCCAACATTGCAGGATCTGTACAATCTCCCCAGTCATTAAAACAACTCCATCGGGACCTATAGCAGATACATTCTCCCTATCCTTAGATATTATATCCTGAACCTTCCTTCCATCCACTCCCCTGTACAAAACTGAATGCGTTTTTCCAAGACCAAGGTTTGCAGTATATCTAATGTCATCACCATGTTTCAAGAATTCGTGGAAACGACGCACAATTGAGTGACCAAGAATGACAACCGAAGTTTTGCTTATTGAAGACATGACAGGATAAAATAATTTTACTCACCAAATACTTGATAAAATAAATATCAAACTTGAAAAAAAGGTCCGTCTTCCAATTAAGGCTGTTAGTGGGAGAAGAGACACGATGACTCACCGCATGGCCGAAATTTAATTGCTAGATTTTGATTGGTCAATTTCTGCCTCTCCGAAGACATGAAACAAACATGTTTTTGAGTAATTCATGTCCTTTTAAAAGGGTACGTCATCACTCAAAATCACTTTTATTTCGTTTGAATTCAAAAAGATCAGAATAAGATGATGTTGAGTTTTATGAAATTGATCCAAATTATTCATTTATTTTTTCTAGTTTTCCGCAGACCTGTCCTAAAAGTACAGAGAAGTACCGTGTTGATAAGAGAGGGATCTCCTATATTTCTTGTCTGCTTTTGGACAAACAACACGCATGAAAAAGATTTCCCTGTCATACGTCTCCGTTCATTGTCTGGTTTACGTGAGTAACAACTATAAAATGTTGACATTATATAAAAAATAGAACTACACTCAAACCCCGTTAGCTCAAACTCGATAGAAGAAAAGACTGAGATATCCATGTAAGAATCGAGATTTGAGACTTGAGGTTGAAATACGTAAATAAAAAGTGACTGGGACTTCAAAATCATTTCAATATATCAATGGCATTCGAGATATCAGTGTTCGAGATAATGCTCAACTGTATTATTATTTGAAATTCAATTATGATATTCTCTGTCAAGCTGATTGTAGAAAACTCTTAACTGTAACAGTTAAGAAAGCGCACTTCACATTTTCGCTGAAAATTTTCTACCAGTCAACTGAAATGTTAATATTTCGACGAAACTGTCTGAAGAACTAATTCTTTACCTTAACTCTCATCCTTTGTTTTAGAACTTGGAAAGTGGGTTAACACCAGGACAAATGATAATTTCTACTCAGTATTTATGAAACCTACATCGGAGGTCTCGGACAAAGGGCGTTACCAGTGCTACAGTAGTCTAAACGATGGCGTGTTTACAAATCAATCTCGAACAATTGAAGTGCAAATATATACTGCAGGTATATATTACGATTAACAATTGAAATATCATCAGATAAATAATAAAATAAAAATTCAATTTCTTTTAAAATTGTTTCTTTTGGAATGTACTGATTCTTTGCTAACTAATAATGTACAAAAATTGCACGAACTCTTTACAAATATATTTATCAAATTAAGTTAAAGGATGTTTTATATCCTTTAAAAAAATAAGAACGTTCTACTATTTTTGAAGAATTTACCACATACTTGTTGAATTACGATCTTGTAATATTAAAGAATGAAAAAAATTAAGAATGCAATACTTTTTTTTAAAATGGAATACGAAAAATGCGTACATGTACCCGCTGAACTTAAAGTAGTTTATACAACTATAATCACATTAATATAAGCTAAAATCATTAATAGATGATGTTGTATGCCAATCGAGTATTGACCAGTACGGGATAATCTGGCATAACACATTAAGTAACACAATGGAGTATGGATCGTGCCCATCTGGAAGAAATGGTAGGTAGTAATGAAACAGAAATGATGTAAAAATGTAATAGATAATTTTCAGTTTCAATATCCCTTTTTATGTCCTTGTGACTTCCAATAATATTTTTCCTAAGATTTTAATAAACGATCTTAAATTAAAATGTTAAACGAAAATAATTGCAAATAAAACTGCACATTGTCTTCCCTGAATTATAGGTGGCGCACAACACGTTTAAGTTCATGACTATTCGTACCTTCAATTTTAGAGAGTGTCAACGTAATTTCGACCTCGTATACCTTGCTCGTTTGCTTCAATTTTATAGATATAATGGCTGATTACGGATCGTGGGATCTACCCACACTTAGAAAAGAGCTACGGAAACGAAATGCTCGCATTTCCGGTCGCAAAAGAGAGTTGGTTGAAAGGTATACTTGCGAGCAGTTTCTTAGCCATAATTTTCTCTGTCGTACACAGAATCGTGATTAAGACGATATCGATACCTGATATTCTTCGTAATTTCAATAAAAGTTCTCCAAAAGCATATTTTATGTAGATTTTTGTGAGTTTAATTACAATTTGTACTATCTACATTTTTTTTTTAAATTCCAGTCAGTTTTTGACGTCAAATACATCTTAGATCATCTGTACAATGCGTATAATAATTTAAATTAAAAATGGCCTTGTTGTATACACGTAACATTTACTGTGACCCGACTGCCTATCACCTAGCACAGGCCTCTGAATTTCTATCAATAAGCCGTTATATGATTGATTAGAGTAATATATATACTCCCTCTATATATAAATACATTTATTTACATTTATATATAGAGGGGGTATATATATTACTCTAATCAATCAAATAACGGCTTATTGATAGAAATTCAGAGGCCTGTGCACCTAGTAGGCCAGTATCAGGCTTGGGGTAATGCTAAATGTCATGGTAATGCATTACTTGCCTAGTATATATATAGATAGATAGGCTTAGATATATAAATAAATAGAAAGGGAGAGAGTATTATTGATGAGAAACCTCTCTGTTTAGACCATAAAAAATATTGCAGTAACTATAAAAATATGTAACAATTTTTTTTAAAACACATAAGTTGTATCTGTAAACACATTCATGAGTCTTTCCCTTTCAACATATTTCAGACTTGAAGCATATGACAGAAATTCAAATTTTGGTTCTGCAGAAAGAGTAGAGAGAGAGTATTGTATGCAAGTGCCTGGTTATGAAAAGTTTAAAGATATCAACAAAGATACTCAGATAGTAGGAGTGAGAGAAGAGGCAGTGAAAGCATATCTGGAAAGAATGAATAAAAGTGTAGATAGCAATGTGATGTACATATATGAGAGCAAGTTTCTAAAGTATGTGAGACTCTGTGCTGAAAATAACTTTTATTATGTGAAGGCAGAATGCAAGGCACAGATGAAGAAGAGTGTGTCATATAAAGTGGATGTATGTGTTGATATGGATGGGTGTATCGTGGAAAGTCAGTGCGAGTGTGCTGTGGGCATGGGCCCAACTGCTGCATGTAAGCATGTATGTGTTGTGTTATTCAGTTTCCAGATGTTTTGCAAAAGTGGAGACATTGTAACCGAGGAGACATGCACTCAGAACCTTCAAACTTTCCATCATACCAAAGTGTACAAAGGCAGTCCAATAAAGGCAAATGACTTGCCTTTAGCTGGTGAAGTGGATGTTAGTTATGATCCAAGACCAAGAGCATATCGCAATATGCCAGGATATCCAGATACCTTCAGAAATGTCTGGCTAAATCATCCCAACATTAGTAATTTAGCAGTCTCACAAATTTTCCCACTTGCCAACACAATTGGGTTAGAAAAAGACCATGACTATTTAAGTCATCCATTGTCATACATATGGTTACAAAACATGAATATAACAAATATTTCAGATGAGGATATTGTTAAGTTAGAAGAGCAAACACGCGGTCAAAGTAAAAGTGCTATCTGGCGAGATGAGAGACGAAAGAGAATTCATTCTTCCAACTTTGGCAGAATTTGCAAGGCTACTGACAAAACTGATTTTTTAAAGCTGGCTGAAAATTTAACAAAGCATATGCCAGAAATTCGTGTACCTGCTATTTTGCATGGTAGATGTTATGAGTCGGTGGCAATAAAAAAGTTTGAGGAAAAATTTAATGTTAAAACCTCAAAATGTGGAATATTTGTTTCAAAGTTGCATCCTTTTATAGCTTCTTCACCTGATGCCATCTTGGACCAAAGTACGCTTATTGAAGTTAAATGCCCCTACCATGCAAAATACAATAAAATATCAGAGGAGACTGTCACGTATTTAAAAAATGTTGATGGATGTTTAGAGCTAGACAATACTCATGACTATTTCTATCAAATTCAAGGGCAACTTTTCTGTTCAAACAAAACATGCTGTTATTTAGTTGTTTACACACTGAAAGATCTTAAAGTTATCTCAATTCAAAGAGACCAAGCATTCATTGACAGAATGTTGCAGAAATTAATTTAATTTTTTGACACATACTTCAAGACTGCTGTTCTGAAGAACTTTTATTACCATGACCACAAAATGAACTAAAATTTAAGTTGTTAACAATGACATCTATGGACCTATAGGCACTGCCACACATGAACAGTTTTTTTTCTTTATGTGTTGTAAATAGAAACTTACACTGGGTACATGTTCATACAGTTATAGTTATACTCTCTATGTGTACATTGATCATGTACCTCAAAATCTATTCACATGGCTATGTAACTAGCTATGAGACTAAGTTGTATAAATACTTGCAACTAATTGAGAATTAATAAATAAATAAACAAACTGACAATCCGTTGGTTAGATTAGGGTAATATTAAAGTAGTACATGTAAATGTATTATAATTTTTACCACCTTGTTATCAATAAAAGAAGTTCATTAGATAAGAATGTGAATTCTTTTTTCAACCATACTGCACAAATTGAATATGTTTTGTCAAAGTATAAAAACTTTCCATTAAAAATGTTTTAACATATATTTTGTTCTATCATAGTTATTGACTCTGTGAACCAACCTCAATTCATTCATTTTCATTGAAGACAAAATCATGCATGTTTGGGAACAATACATTTTTTGAAATTACAAAGTGTGAAACATACAAATAAAATTTCACTGGCTAATTTTGTCTCGGTTGTATTTAAGGGTGTTTTAAGAATTTTGTATGTCTTCCCTAACCCTATCAGCCGTTCAATATGAACTCTTTTGCTGGATATTTTGCGATCACGCAAAACTGTCTTTCCTGACATTCTGTTTTGTTTCTTAAAAAATGAAGGAATATTTACAGTTACATCTTTAGGAGCAAACAAATCTTGGACATTGAATCCTTTGTCTGCCATAAGAGAATCGCCAGGTTCAAATAAGTCAGTACTTACCAAAGGACTCCGTTCAACAAGCTGTCTATCACTTGCAGACCCTCCATAAGCAGAAGACACATATGAAATTAAACCCCCTGGAGTTGAGCCTACAAGTACTTTGACAGTGTTTCTATTTTTATATGTAGAGAAGGTTGCTTGTTGGGCAATGGGTGGTTTAGGTTTCTTTACAGGAATCTCAGTTCCATCAAGCAGAACTCGTGTGGAAGGGAATTTACTGTAGAAATCAGAGGGGGAGAAAAAGGAGACCAGGTCTTTGTCTGGATAGAAATTCAGTTCCCTCCACTGTCTTGACATGAAATTCACCCAGGTAATCCAAATATTTTCAACAGTTGTTTGTGATATTGAAAATAGTCTACTTAATTCAAAATTGGGCTTATGTTGCCTCAACTTAATCAGTGTCAAAAAGAGCTGATTTTCAATGGACATATTTTGAACCTGATTATAAATATAATTGAGATGAAAGGCTGCTTCACCAAGACTATACAGTACATGTAAAAAGTCTGTGTAGGAACTCAACCCTGTATAAAACATGATGCCTTCATCATCATACATGAAATTTTCAATACACATGATAGGCGATTTTGCTGTTTGACATGATGAATCTACAAAAACAGGTGCAACAGGGGCACTTATCTCAATATCATTATCACTGAAGCAAGACTTTTCATCCTCAACTTCTACACTGTTGCCCACTTCATATACATTGCAAACATCTGAAACAATTTCTGTTTCCGTTTCCGAATTTTCTCGGTCATCTTTCTCCAATTTGGCACGACGGGCAAGTACTCTCTTGCTCCTCTCATCAACACCATAACATCACTTTGACTTGGTCCAAGGGAAGATGGAAGGGACTGCATCAGGTTTTCTCTGCCTTCTTAGTGGTTCAGTGCCTATCAAGTTATCAAAAATATTATTGAATATATTTGAAAAAACAATGCAGTTACAGATGTACATCAACTTTTCACTGATTATATTAAGATTTCAGTTGTTAAATATTATTATAAATATAATCATATGCATGTTATGTAGCGAATGGTGTGTGAATGATATGTGAAAAAAAATGTCCTGTCACATTATGATTGTGTAATATATATGTGTATTATGTATGTTACTTAGTGAACCCAGGGCCCCAACCCTGGCACTATTATATACTTGGACATGTGATGGGGCAATAAAAAAAAAAAAAAAAAAAAAAAAAAAAAAAAAAGTTATCAAAAATATTTTATTGTTTACTACATAATGAAAATGTTTTGAAGAAAAAAAAACATGATATATCAGGAGATGTTTAAAAATTTTAGTCCAAAATGTATAAAATCTAATAAAAGATATATGTATTATAAGGCTTATCGTATCCAGTGGTGACTTCCTAATCCACTTGTCAGGAACTTCCAAAAGAGCATGACTGCAGAATGACTCTATTTCCTCACCACATCTTGATGAATTATGACATAACAAAATAGCCATGAAATAGCAAACTTGGTATTTTTCAAAATATATTTCACAAGTTTGACCACTCCATTGCATATTTTGATAATATCAAACTGTTTAATATTAGGATACTGCGCTGGTAATGGAAAAGAAAAGCACTTGTCAACATGTAAAAATAAATGGAGATAATTCGTAATAAATCATGCAAATGTAAAAATGATAAACTGTTAATCATTGAAATTCTTTACGTCATATCAGCTGTTTCAGTGTCAACTATGAACATGTGTAACAGAAGTAAATATTATTGTATGTATATATGCATTATATTTATAAAGGTTTACGTCTTATATAAAAGCATCATCTCTATGGCCAAATTCTCAGTATGATTTGTCATTTAATAAAAAAAGTTTCATTGAAGTCTTTGACTTTTCGCTGTATTAAAACTGGTATTTGATTTTGATATATAGCAGATATAGATGCAAGTAAAATTTTCATGTGTATCCGTCGCGTTATTACACAGCTGTTATGAACTACAAACAAATTATTTTGTAAGACAAAACATAATTAAGCAACTAAAAATGAAGCCAAATAATCTTACTAACCGTGCTGTGTTTCGGAGGTGAAGTCTTCCTCACTAAAGTGTTTGTGACACACAACACTGAATGGCTGTGGCGTCCAATGTTTATATGTAATATCCTCATCGTTTCGTCGAATGGCTCGAATCCAAAGCTTTCTTATCCTTTCTTCCTTTGGAAAGCTTAATCCTCCCCTGGTGGAACAACCAGGCACACAACAGCAAGTGGGCATTTGATGTTTATTATGACTACTCTAATGTTATCGAAATCGAAGCGAAACCGGAAGTAACTATGAACCGAAACGTGTCATGCGCCACCTATATCATCGTAAGGGGCAAGAACTGACAAATATTTGCAATTACTTACGAAGGTAGTGGATGATAAAGATTTACATCTGAATTAAGTGTGACAATTTGTATTCATGAAAAATAAATCAAACTTTTCTTTTATAAAACAAATACTTTTATATGCACATAATTCTTTGGCCATCCTGATTTTGTGTAATTCTTTGGTTTAGGAAACTCGTCACGTTTCTGCAATGCATCTGGAATGTGGAATTCAACAGATGTGTCCTATTGTTATGATAACAATCTTGACGTCATATCCGAGGAGGTAGAGATCTTAATCGCATGTTTTTTTCTTTTCACGAAGAATAAAATTCTACATGTAAATTTGATGATTTTGCATCGACGCCAGACAGAAACTGTATAATTCTATCTTCATTTCTTCATGAAAAAATTAAAAAGAAATTGGAAATACTTTTTTAAATTTAAAGTTAGATAATATTGACGCCGAGGTGGATGACGGTACGGCGGATGAAGACAGCGTCGCTGAGGTAATAAACAATACCTTAACTGAAACGGAAGTGTTTACTCGCAATACAAGTATGCCTGGTGATCTAAAAAGAACAGTAAATATACTAGAAAGAATTGTCCGCCTAACAAACCGCAGTGGAAACATGGTCAACAATTATAAACAGGTAATTCAATTATATACTTTTGCAGTTCTTTTAATATGTGTTTGGCATTGCTTTGACAAAGATAAATGGTGCATAGTTTGGATCCTTAATGTTCATTTTAAATATCTGGTCGTTTATTTTCTTATACTTTAGTCCTTTTTCGTTTCTGTCGACAATATGTTATCCTCAAGAAATGATGATGCCTGGACTCAATTATCAGCGGTAAAGTTTCAATTTTTTTTTTAATTCAATATAATGCTTTCACACATCTGAAGTTTCTTTGTTCCACCTGAGCTTTGAACTCCGTTGCTCATTATAGACAGAAATTTGTTTGATCTTTTTTTTTAAAAAACACCACTGTTGATGAGAGGTAACATTGTAACATAAAGCTATATTCGCTTCCATAAAATTATAGTAGAAAAGAAGTTGAGATGTTAAAAAGCTGTCATCTATTTCAAATATTTTTCAACCAAAACCGTGGTTAAAGAAAATAAAAAAAAATATTTAGTTTATGATTTTTTTTTAATTAGTACGCTTGTCAAGATTCTTTTCAACTTTTTCTTTCCCCTTTGTAAAACAATGCTTTTGTGCATGGAAACTTTTTTTATATAGTAAATTGAAAAAAATGTTTTTAAATGATAGAAAATTTTTTTACAAGAGGTCAGACTTGTCTTCTGCTGAATTTGTGATGAGTTTGGTCGATGGATTCAGTGTTTACGTCAGACAAAGGAGACAGAATGTCAACGAGACTGATAAATTTAATGGAAGCAACTTAGGTCAGAATAAGTTTCTTTTCCGATTTCATATGCAAAAACAAATTTTAATTATTGTCTAACAACCTACCAGGTATTCCAATTTTTTTTAATTTCTTTCTTTAGAAGTGAAACATGGTTCAGTAGATTTACTTCAGAATGTAACTTTTCCTAATGAGGGTCCTGAAGAATCCTTCCTACTGCTGCCTCGGCAAAATGAAATTAAAACAGGTATATTTGATTCATTAGAAAACAGAGCATATGTCAAGGTACATAATCTGTATTATTTTAATATGATAATTGTTTTAGAATATTTACATTTGTAGAATTTTTTATCCGAAATAAAACTACAGATAATAAAAATACTTGATTTCTACATCATGCTACTGGCTCCTTAGTAAACATGTTTTTAAAAAAAAGATAGAAGTAGGCAGTGCTTAGAGCACGTGAATTTACGGAATAAATAACATGTAAATATAACGAATAACTGTAAAATTTTTGGTTTTACGATGACGATCAAGCAATTGGCTTGTGTTTATGCGAATTAACAAAGCTTTATGATAAACGTAATGACTAACTTTTCAATCATCAACTTTCCTTACTTATGCAGCAATATGCCCTTATCACCTGCATATGGGGTGTATATCTCTCAGTTGATTCGATAGGCAAGAGCATGCTCTACGTATGAACAATTTTAAAACGAGGTAAGTTAGTGACAAACAAGTTGATGAAACAAGACTATCAACAGTCAAAATTTTCTAAGTCCTACGTTCGATACAATGACCTTGTCAGCAAATACAACCTATCATTAAGTCATATGCTGACTGACGTTTTTTTACTAATTGTTAGGCCATTGTTTACACACTGAATTGTCGACGGATGTTTCCGTTATTTTCCGATCATGACAAGGAGCACACGGCGGGGGTGACCGGTTGGCAGGGGATACTCACTCCTTCATGGCAGCTGATCCAACCTCTGATGTCTTTGGAGGTCAATGTTTGCTCTGCTCCCGATTTCTATTGTTTTAATGGACTTTGAGCTTAAATACTGCTCGTTATCTCCATATTTCATTGACCACACCATGAAACTAAAACTTTGATCGTTATATCCTTAAATATTACAGACATAAATATCTATTCATATAACTGTTTGCGGAAATATGGCTTATGTACTCGGCGTTAGGCAATAAACCATTTAATCGCAACAAATATTTGTATTTTATTCGTTTTATTACAATAATTCTGAAAATCTGATAAACTCTTGCTGGAATATAAATGGCTTGAGATGTGAGGAGAAAGGATAGATAGCATAGAATTGCCCTTCTCATTGTTCTATCGTGGATCCTGAATTCTACATGTATAATCCTATATCCTGAATCCTATACCCTTTCTTACCCCATTCCAAGCAACATATAAAGATAGCAGCACTTTAGGTGTGGAGTTTGTGTTGAAGAATAATCAGCATAAGATAATTATATTTAAGTGGAGAAAATACATGTTGAAGAATGATAATTCTCAAAGTCTATATATGGTCTGGAGCCACGAAATAGCATTGTAATCAGATGTAATACGCCATCTGTATATTTACAAAGTACACAAAAATCATATCGAATAGACAACATTTCTATTCATACATCACTATCGAACATTGAAGGATTAAAACTAAATTTATTATTTTTGAAACAAAAATTATATAAAATAGTGATAGAACTCAAAATAAATCATCCCTCATCTATTTTTGAAGAGTTATTTATGTAATCTTTTTTCTAGGAAATTCCTATACGGCTGTTATTTACAGAACAATTGCAAATATACTTCCAACAGAACTGAGCAATACCTCAAGGTAAGGCGAGAGTTGTTAAAAGCAACATGTCAGCAAGAAAGCTTTTTATCAAAATATGTATTTTACTGCATTACTACAGAGTCATATATAACAGAGATTTGTAATTCCGCCACTAATATGTTTATCTACTGCCTGACCCCGCATTATTTTTAACAACTCTTCTTTCTTGGAACTTTTTTTTAATCAAAATCCAAAATTTTAGTCTTTTTGATAATATGAGTGTTGAAACTATACATGAATTAATATGAGCAAAATAAAGAAAAATATACATTTAAGAATATGACCGAAATAGGGAAAATTGTTGAGGTCAATATTTGAACTTCGGCGAAATCTCGAGAGAAATGGTTGACAACCTGTAACGGTGCGAAGTAGAAAATACTTGATAGGACCTGTGATATCTTTACAGTAGGACCTGAGATATCTTTAAAATAGTATCTGAGATAAATTTACAGTGAAATATATTGAGATAAGGAACAGTATTCAATTTCAAAAGTCCATAAAACAATACAAATTTTGGAGCAGAGCAAACAAGGACCTCTGAAACATCAGAGGTGGGATCAGGTGCCATGGAGGAGTGAGCATCTCCTGCCGACCGGTCACACCCGATGTGTGCTCCTTTTCATGATCAGGAAATAACGGAAAAATCCGTCGACAAATTCAGTGTGTAAATAATGGCCTTACAATAAGTATGAAAAACGTCAGTCAGCATTTGACTTAATGATAAATTTTATTTGCTGACAAGGTCTTTTATCGACCATAGGACTTACGAAATGAAAGCTTTAAACGAGACTGCTGATATTCTTGTTTCATCTCGTTTGTCAATAATTTACCTTAGAAATTGTTCATACGTAGAGCATGCTCGTGCGTATCGAATCAACTGAGAGATATAAACCCCGTATGCAGGTGATGAAGGTATATTGCTGCATAAGTAAGGGACGTTAATGATTGAAAAGTTAAAGTCATCACGTTTATCATAAATCAAGCTTGTTTGTTACCATCAACGTCTTTTTCTAAAATGGGAACAGATATTTTTTTACAATAGGAACCGAGATATCTTAAGTGTCAATTTAATATACATCTCTTTTTAAACACTTGCAAATATCTGTAATTTATGTCTCTGAAAATCAGAAGTCACAGTAAACTGGAACAGGAAAATGTTTTGGAAGTTTTCAATGGTGTACGGTTACACTTGTGATAAAGTAACAATGTAGAATTTAGATTTATCGAACTCCTTGAAGAAAAGTCGCCCTTGACAAGATACATGAACATAGTTTTTTTTTTTTAATTTCGCTTGTTTACTCATGAGCTAAATATTTGTTTTTTTCGTGATTAATATATATTTTTTGGCAATTGAAGGATTTTTGTGGGAAAAATAAATGTTTTCATCACTTTTACGACTAGTATCCCTTTCATTTATCCAGCTAAGTCTTAGAAAGGTACGTTTAAATTTTCTTTAGATCAGCATCTGCCAGAGTGAATCTTTAACCAAAAAAAAAAGCAAAAAAGAATAAATTCCATTTTAGTAACGTTAAATATTGCTACGTTAATTTTAGGGTTAAAATGACTATGAAATTACCAGTTGTAAACACGCCAATACTATCGTTTACGTTGGACACAACTCCTGATATGTTATCACCACCGCTCACACTGACATTTTTACCTATGAATAAGGTATAGTGATGATTTCTTTTTTGTTATTTATTACATGTATATAACAAAATCAATTTATTTTTAAAAAAAATAATTCAAATTTTGCGTAATAGCATTTATAGAATAGTAAAGCATCTTGTATTTATGAAAACACTAACCATTGATGTCTTTTTTTCAGACTGGTGATATTACGTCTTCAGTATGCGTCTACTGGAACTTCTCTTCAAGGTAAATATGTTAATAAAACAACTTAATAATATTAAAACATTACAACCATGCCAAACGGCGTTTATCTAAACTGTTCAGTTTATATAGATTATAATTTGTTCATTTCTTTATGTAGTCTTAACTTTTTTAGCAACTGCCTCTCAAATCTTAAGTATTTTCGTTATCGAATACAGTTAAGTATTTGTTTAAAGAAAAAGGAGATACATATAAATATATTTCATTTCTAAAACAAAACAAATTAATATACATGTGCATGCATATGATGTTCGAATGAATACCTGCTTCTTTCTTGTGTGTAAGGAATGGACTTGGTGGTTGGGATACAGATGGTTGTGAACTTGTACAATCTGCATCTAATAAAATTACCTGTCAATGTAACCATCTTACAAACTTTGCTGTCTTGATGAGTTTGGACACAGACGTAAGTGTTAAAGACCTTTAAAAGTTATTTTCAAAATAAAGTAATGAAATCCATTTCCTTATAGGTTCGGTTTTGCTATATCTTTAATATACTTTAATTACGTTTCATTATTATACAATGTTATGATTACATGAACAGTGTTTTGGCAAAAGCAGAAGAAATTATTCTTTAAAAATTAATCAGTATTGTTTTATTATCGAATTAATTTTATGTTGACTTTTTCTCTTCTCATGATTAACTTGTGAATTACAAAATTACTTATAAAATGATTTTCGATATGTTTTTTGCTTTATTTCAAGGTAGCAGATACAGAATTTCTCTCAACAATTTCTTTGATCGGAAGTTGCATTTCGATTGTATTTGCGTCATTGACGGTGATAGTTCATATCCTTGTGTGGAGGTAATTATTCTTTTCTGAACGATTAAACAACAATCTATTCTATTCAAGGAAATCTACAAAGGTTCCAAACTTAGACAGTCCATGTCTCGTAATCCATTTTATATTTTGCAGAGGAAGGTATGTAATATTACTGATTTAAAATTATAAATGAATTTTTACAATATCACCAGCTTGAAAAGCGGGGTTAATAAAGCGATTGCAGTGTCCGTCTGTACATTTTTGGGTACCCATCTCTTATCCGCAACACCTTTTATACCACTGAATAAAATTTAATGAGACTTTCATAGAATCTTTGCTGCATAATGTCATTGGGCAACGTCTTAATTTAATTTGTAATCGCATACATATTTCCGTTTTTCCATATGAAAACATGACACTGCCATTCTTTCTACATTATAGGGTTATCCATTTCTTATCCGCAACTCCTTCTGTACAACTGAATAAAATATGAAACTTTCACAGAGTCTTTATTACATAGTGCCATTATGCACCTCCTTCTTTATATTTTGATCAGACAGATATTTGGGCTTTCCCATAGCAAAAAATAAACTTTACCATTATACTCATATGGGACTGGGGGTATCATTTTGCGAGCTCACTGCTCACAGTTCCCTTAGTTTTTATTGAAAAGGGGTCGTAATAAAATAGAGTGAATTTTGCAGATATTTAAAGAGTGCGGTGGTCATCCTACTAATGAATCTTTGTGTGACATTGTCCGTCTCCTACCTGCTTTTCATTGTCGGGACATATGCCTCTTTTAATGAGGTTTGTATGTTTCTTCGAAAAAAATTATAAAATGATATTAACCTTTCTTTGTTGTTGATGTTGGTTTTTTTTCCATTACACATTTCATCATATCAGATCATTTACTTCGTCAAACTCTCCATTATATTGTATTTGATCTTAAATGAAGTCAAAGCCTTTCAACTTTTGATTATAAGAATTCTATTTCACAAAATGGAAACTGTAGAAAAGACAATTACTGTTAACAATGAAAAAGAGTTATTTTTCTTTATCCATATAATGAAGTGTTTCGTTAAAGCAAACTTCTCAGGAATAGAACTGATCGTCCGTAAAATATGATAGGTGAGCTTGGTTATTTACCAAGAATAAATGTCTCCTAACCGTCATTTTTTTTGTAATTGTTATGCCTTTATTTTTACAATGATATTTTACGAATTTTACGTTTGCTCGATCATGACACTGAGCACACACGGGTCCGTGTTTGCTCTGCTCCAATTTTGTATTGTTTTAATGTACCTTTGAGCTTGATAACTGTTCGTTTCGCTATCTTCATATTTCATTAATTTATCATACTATAATAATTTTTCAAATCTAACCCAACTGCAACTCAGATGTATGGGATATAGTCAACGAGGACATGGCAAATTTTTAAGGTCCAAGAAATGGTGGTTAATATGAATTTAATTCAAATATATAATCCTGTCAGTCTTACATGAATGATACTATTGTTTGGATTTCAAACATTTCAATAAATTACATTGACTTATTTTTCAAACTGCTGAGATCAGCAGTCTGTTGAAGTAGGTTTTCATATCTGCTAAACGTTATTAACACAATTGAGTATACGAGATTTAGTATAGCAGTATACCTTAAAACATTGCAAATATATATTTCTAAATATTAATAATGAAAATGCTTGTTTGTTTGTTGTTTAACGTCCCTCTCGAGAATTTTTCACTCATATGGAGACACCACCACTTGCCGGTGGAGGGCTGCAAATTTTTACCTGTACTCGGCACTTAGGGTCATTGAGCAGTGAGGGATCTTCTACTGCGACACAGGGCCTCGGTTTATACGGTCTCATCCGAAGGACCGGCCTCCACGTCCCGCAGTGGGAAATAATGAAAATGTAAAAAATAGAATATTTCTTATAGAGTGACTTAATTATTTGTACTGCATCTTTTACAATTCTAGACTGCCTGCACAGTTATTACATTCTTCCTGCATTCAATGCTGCTGGTCATGTTTAGTATGATGCAATGTATAGGTGTTTACTATTTCCGGAACATTGTTATCGCTTCGATCTGGTTACGTCTGGCGAATAGATTTTCAAGAAGGTCAAATATCCCATTGTTTATGGGTTTCGGCTGGGGTATGTTTAAATTCATTTGCTTATTGTCTCTTAGAAGTAAATATTTAAGTCATCGTTTATTTTCTGAAAAACGTGCAAAAATAAATTTTTAATGATTTGTTTTCATCTTACAGATAGTTTAATTAACTTATACTTTTTTCAACTATTCTGTACTATTACTTTCTTTACAGGGATACCCTTTGTTATATCTTCAACAACACTTGGAATATTCTTCAATAAAACGTATCGTTTATCAAATCAGTAAGCACATTTTTTTAGAATAGTATAGAGAGAGAGAGATAGTGAAAGAGAGAAATAATCGTATCGTTTATCAAACCAGTAAGCACATTTTTTAGAGAGAGAGAGAGAAAAACCAAAAATCGAACAATTACGGCATTCTTATTTCACATTTTGCCCGAATATGTAAACGTTATATCCTACAGCTCATTGCCTTACTGCGCAAGCATACTAATTGTACGGTTATGCCTGCATTCTAAATTAGAGTTAAGATAGAACCTTTTTAGATTGTTTAAGATATCAGGTGGAAGTGTACATATAATTTGTTAAGGAGGTTTATTTATGGACAAAATGTTTGGATTGATTTTTTTTACAGCAAAGTTACCTTTATTAAATAGAAATTAAAGGAGCATCTATTTCGTATTATAAATAAAGTATAGTGAACGTTCGTCCCTCCATTTGGAGGGGAATTATATGGTTCGACTATTTACCAAGGTTGATGACATGTCTGAATCTGAATAGTCTTTAATTTTTTTTTCTTAGAAACTTGCTTTCAGATTCTCATATTTACATAAAAACATCCCCCTTTAGTGCAAATTAGAATCTGTGAGAGTCGTAGTCAAAGGATGATATATATCATATTTGATTTTAGAGAGAAAGTTATAGGAATTGATTCTATAAGATCAAGTAAAACTGCAAATTAATATTGTTGAAAGCGTGTGCCTTGGGATTAGTAATCAGATACAAAAAAGGTACTTATTTACACATTCCTTGCTTTCAAAAAATGAATAATTTTTGTCTTGGGATAGCAGTGTGTCATTTTGACTATATAATCTTCAGCTATTTGTTAAAAACTACATGAGCAAAACATAATATATGTTTTCTTTTTAATTTTAGTAAATTTATTAATCATGTTATATAACAATTTCACATACACTGAAAATTCATGAAGTCTACATTAGAAGATTTTATTTTATTTTTATTCCTTGACAGTTGCTGGCTTTCTGTTGACAGTGGGGCGATTTATTTCTTCATTGTTCCTGTTTGTGTGGTGATATTTGTAAGATTTTAAATGATATCAAGAATTATTGAACATTTATTTGCATATCATATTACTGTTTAATGAATTGTTTGAATGAACAATTTGCCTTTGAATTTTTTAGCAGGAAAAAGAAATCCATATACTTGTTTTAAACAACATGGAATTTCTCATTTCTTTCAGATAAACTTTATTATAATTCTGGCTCTGCTGAAAGTGTCATTAAGCCGAATGAAAGGATATGCAACACAGACGTCCCAAAATCAGGAAACAAGCATTTCAGCCAAAGCCCGGTCAGTATCTCACATTCAACCTTCATCAATAAATCTTGGCATAATAATCAGTATCTCAACATCAAAATTCTAGGGATAGTTCATCCTCTTTTATACATCTTTACTCTTATGCATGGGATAAATTTGGAGATCAAAATGTTGGTATTTTGTCCTTCGATTTAAAGCAGAGTTTCTTGCACAATATCTTTTCTTCGCCGAAATATGGCTGAAATATTGCCGACTCGACGTAAAACAACAAGGGCTATGTTCACTTTCTTGATGAATTTACTGAGTCTGACAAAGATGTGTTGATTGTGTGTTGTCAAACATCCCATTCGAGAACTTTTTTTTCACTCGTATAAAGACAACACCTTATGCCGGTGAACGAGAATCGAACCTCCCTAACACGAAGCAAACGCCCTTCCACTATGCAACCGTGACTGGTGCCTGACAATGAAGTTATCTGTAAATTTCGAGTAAAATTTCCCTTTATGAACTGTAGTTGTTCGAGTAATTCACACATTCACAGGTATTTCATAAGTGAGTATAAAGTTGAGATTTTTGTGAATATTATTATTATATTTCGATTTCAGTGTGAGGTAATTCATAAATGAAACGAAATCCCCTATGATGAAGTATTCTGCAATATACTTACACTTGAATTTATATACATGTGTATTTGATATGCCTTGCATGCGTTTATCAGAAATTGCTGTTGATCGGTGAGCGCCATTTGCCGAGACTTTAATTTTGTAGTATAGTACGCTACGTACAAAAGAAATTTCGAGCATTTCATTTAACAAAGAAAATAAGGTTAAAACCACAGGATGAATTATTTTTTTCAGTGCACAATTTCCTTTTAAATATGCTTTCTTGGAAGAATACGCATTAGTGTATGAAAAGTGAATTTCCAACTAACAAGTTTTATCCTGTGTAAATATGAAATTAGTGTTAACGTAAATCAAATTAAATGTGTAATATAATTTGTAGAATTGCGTTGTCCCATTCCCTCTGAGATATTATGATCTCTAGCCATGAAATAAACTTTAATGAGAAAACTGAGTGTTCAAAATAATGTGTGATTTGTTACTATTCCATCACGTTTGGTTGAATAATTTTAAACAATAAAATGCTTTCTTTACTTGTTAGTATGGAAATTAATGTTCCAGCTGTTGCAGAAAAAATTCACAATCAGCTTAAGAGGTTTTGTTAATTTATTTTTTCAGCAATAGCTGCAACGTTAATTCCCATACTATCAAACAAAGAAAGACATTTCATTGTTTATATTTTTGTTTGTAGAAAAAATCATGTAAACGAGGATAAAGTACCTCATATATTGAATTATTAATATGTTCTTCTTTAAATGTTTCCAGGAATGACTGAATTTTTTATTTTTGTGTTCTATCATAAATGCATTTGCTATGTATTTGTTTTTAATAAAACGATTAATTTTATATAACTGCTGTTTTAATATTTGTTCCGCAGAATGGCTTTGAAAAACTTTGGAGTCCTCGTCCCAGTTCTTGGTATAACCTGGATTTTCGGAGTTATGTCAATAAATGAAGATACAGAAGTTTTCCAATATCTCTTCACTATTAGCAGTTCACTACAGGTAAACATAACAATCCAATTGCATACTTTTTACCTTGATCATAACTTTTGACGAAAATAACGTAGGGACATTAAAATTGGAACAAAGGTAGATATAACCTTGAGATGTGGACAAAATGATCTTAGGATATGGTCAGAGCATGATCAATGTCATTTGAACATTTGGTTAGTGTCACTGTGATTGGATGAAATAAGGAGAAAACGAACAGTTATCAAGCTCAAATGCTCATTGTAACAATGTAAATTTTGAGCAGAGCAAAAATGAACCTCCTAAAACATCTGAGATATGGGATCAGATACCATGAGATGCCAGACCCACACTCAGATTTATTTGGAATTGGTCAGATTCACAAGATTTGGAAAATAAAAAGATACTATGTCTTGTCAACGTTAACTCATTGTTCAATAAAAACGTTACTCGTAAAATACATTTATATAATGTATTAGTCATCAAAAAATTATTTTCTTAACGTGCCGTTCAGATTCTTGGTAAAGGTATTCTGGAGAAGATATCAAAAATAAATACTGGAATTACTGAATGACAATTACTTTCTTGTTTTTGTTTACCCACATTTTTATGAATTTCTTTGAAAATTAATTGTGTCTTCATCATTAGCCAACCTATCTTTGTATTTTTTATAATGCAACCTTTATTCAAGAACTATTACAAAAGAAGTCTCTTGGCACAATAATAAAATATAAATGTATTATTTAACAACATTCATTTCCATTTATACTTTGATTCGGTAAAGAACACTGATCTCAAAATAAAAACATTACAGAGTCTGACACATCTTTTTTCATGCCTGGATATTTAGCTTCAAACTTACAACTTAATTTTATGATAAACGGAATGATTTGACTTTTCTATCGCTAACTTTCTTATTTTTTCTAATTTTTGAAGAAATATCTCATGCATGCAACTTACAAATAATTAATGTTACAGGGATTTCAACAGTATCAATTGAATCTTACTTGGTCGTTACAATGACAATATTTACGAAGATAGCAGGTTTTTAGTCGAATGTTAAATAATGATTTATCAAATTGTTAGACTATTGTATGTAAAAGGGTTGCACTGTTTACCTGGTTATGACAAAGGCATCAGGGTGGGATTTATCGGTAGGCAGCTAAATACTTCATGGCACCTGATCTCACTTCTAGTGTTTTCTGTGGTCTTTGTTAGCCCTACCTTTAATCTATGTTGTATGACTGGATTTCGAATTCCCCATCTCACCTCCCAAAGACATCTTCCTTTGCTCAAATCTTAGTCTGAGCGTCTAGCATTTCTCTATTACAAAGTTATAATTTTATTCTTCCAGTCCTTGTCATAATAATCAATGATCACGGTAGGATAGAATAACCTACATTCTGTCTTCAGTCTAAAAGCATGATATTAACTTATAAGTGAAGTTTTGGACAGACACGCCGTAGAAGACAAGAGATAGAAAAAAAAAATAATCAAACTGGGTATATGATCTATTTCGGTGTTACATAAAGATATTTGCTTTTGGCATTCGTGAGGACGTTTGCGTGTCTGATACTCTACAATAGATTGAATTTTCTACAATTTTTTCCCGTTTTTCCCTTTCATGACAAGGAGACACATGGCGGGTGTGACTGGTCGGCAGGGGATGTTCACTCCTCCATGGCACCTGATCCCACCTCTAATGTCTTAGAGATCCGTGTTTGCTCTGCTCCTGATTTGTATCGCTTGAATGTACTTTTGAGCTTGAATAGTGTTCGTTATCTCCATATTTGATTACAGATATAAAATATAGATGCACTATATCGTATTGTTTGTTTAGTTAAATATATTCTTGCAAGAATAAACTTTAATATTTATATATTCTGCTATTTTCTCCACAGTAAATGATGCATTCAATGACAAGTTTATGTCTTTTAGTGTAGATGAGGCATAGAATTAAGAATATATGCAATATGACATTCTTTAAAAAACGAAGGCAATATTGTTCATTTCTTATATCATCGATCAGTTATTGATCGGTTATTGACATTTCTTTTTTTCTTCCAGGGTTTACTTATTTTCATCATAAATGTTCCATTAAATAAAAAGGTAAGATCATGCATATATTTCTCATATTTCTATTTAAAAGTATTTTGATTTGCACTCTCATTCTCAGTATTAATCATCTATTTCAACAAAACAATCTAGTTAATTGGCTTTCTTTAATCAACAATATAGTTACGAGATGCCTTTAAGAAGAAGTTCAAATTCCTGGAGACTATTTCGAGCAGCCAAAAATCCACCGGGTCCAGTAATCAGACATTGGAACAGACAAGCACAAATGTAAAAATATCTCAGGTAAACGTCCACTTTCCACATTACCGTTTACTACTTGTAAACTTGTAAGTTTCTTTTTTTTTTGGGGGGGGGGGGGTCTTCAGTATATTTATGTTACATAGACATAAAACCAGGCCCGTAGAACGCGAGGGATGTGAGTATAGTATTTTGCTCTAATAAATTATCCTATAGATGCTGGTTGACCCACCACTTTTTGTTGCTGAAAGGTCGAGCACTGGAAAATTCCAAAGTTTTTTCTTCCTTTTTTTTATTTTGCTTTTTGAATTTTTTTTTTTTTTTTTGGGGGGGGGGGGGAGGAGGAGGTTTCCAACATTTGAAACCATTGCTACGGGCCTGAAAACAATTGATGTTTATATTTTCAGAACATGCTTTAAAGTATACGATACAATAGTTTGTGTTTGTTTTCTATAACACAGATATATTTATTTATATGACATAGTTTTTTTTCAGTCATTTCATCATTGTATATTTAATATAAATTTAGCTGCTCTAACTCAAACCAAACATTATTATATTTTTATACTCTCTAGGCATCAAAGGAACCAAAAAAACTCGAAGGTATTTAAAATGAAATATCTTCAATCTTCTTTATCTCAATCTTTACAACCAAAAAATAGGAACTTATTGTGAACAATCTATTTCATTGCATAGATACAGATGTAGATGACAATGGAATGATACGAATCTCAAAAGTTGTCAGTGACTGGACAACACATTAAAATCCGGTGAGGATGGGAAGTCCATTTTTCACCATCGTAATCTCAGGACAATTGTTGACTGCAGGGAAAATAGCTTAAAGACAAATGAGCATCACATCAACTCTGAGGCAGCCTGTCACTGTTGATGACTAATCTCTTTTGTATTTGAGATGAACCTGCTTCTTTTTATTGACTAAAATGTGCGATTGTTTTTCTGGGTTCGTAGAGTCAGTTAACAATGTGTCTGTTACATCAAGATCTTATTTGCTTGGCATAGAATTAGAAACTATATTAACCTAATAGATTTACATGACAAGACAAATTAGAAAATAAGACTTATAATATACTAATTTCATCCAATAATAAATTGCAATGCATCAAGTCAATTTAAAATCAACACATGATTAGGGCCCTACAGGTTCTATTATGTTTGTACATATAATATGATATGAGATTCAGAACGTTTAAAGCCTTCGCTAACATATGACAACGACATTTATTTTCTGTGGACTTACTTGTAAGACGAATTGAAATGCAATGATCATGTAATTTCTTTTTGAAATTTATAGATTTGTTTTTAAGAAACCATGCTTATATGACATCGTAAGTGTGATATAATGTCTCGTATGTTAAAAAATAGTGTGGCCATGTCGTATTTTTCCCAAAACGCATTATGTTAGGGATTTTTTTTTAATCATTTACTTCCGTTTAGCTTCTTCAGAATTCTAACTGAGTATTATGTAACTGTGTCGTAAAGCTATAAGTATCCACGTAATGCTGAATCTCACACTTTATGGATTAAACAATAACAGGTTTTATTAGAAAAATTATTTTCAAGCTTTTTTAAACTAAAAAACGAGTTACACATCGTATGCTATAATTTACAGCCTTAGGCACAGCTCGAGCGAGTTTTATTTGACTTACTGTACCCTGTTGACTTTTGATCAATATTGTTGGTAAAATTGCATATTGCTTATTACGAAATGTGAGACTCTTCTAAGTTACATTATAACTGTGAATTTTGATATTATAACATTATTTAAAGTATGTTAGTTTTTGAATCATTGCAAATGTTTTCATTGCCAAATTAAAATTCAGAATTTAGCATCTTGAAATTCTAAAATTTTTAACAAAATTTGTTCTATTTACATTGATTGTCTCAGCGGCAAATTTTTTTATGCTGTATTAATAATTCAGAAAAAAAAATTCAATTGATTCTCCATGCATTCCTGACATGAAAGGTTTGTATATTGATTTAATGACATATGTATGCATTCTGTCCCACCACCTCATCGTTACACGAATCTTTACATTGAATTCTCCAACATGTTTTTTTTTCTCCTCATCAATATTGCAATATCGTTGAAACAGTCATTCATGGAAATTTAAAAAAAAAAATCATAAATTTGCAATTTCTCTTTACTGCTGCTACAGTGTTGAACTGATACGTGAAAGTGTGATCATTGTCTATTGGAAATCAATAATCTATAAAATAAGCATTGTACACTCTCTTCAAGACACTTTGGAAGATCGATTTAAAAACGTAGTAAGACAATACATATAAAATGTTCATCTGCTTTCAGAATTTACAGAAATGTGATTGTGATGTCACAGTCTTACTAGCTAAGTGTATTTGTTATTATGATACAAATTATTGTCTCTTTTATCTGATGGGTTTCCAAAATAAAATATAAATAATGATGCCTTAACATGAACAGATGGATTTACTGACTTCGACGCAGATGTTGTATTATTCAGTTTCTATACACACATAAACCTGAATAATGATTCTCAAATCTTTGGGCCCACTGAGAATATAAATACTTATTTCTTTTTCAGTGACAACAAATCTTGTATAATTAGAAATTTAATTTACAGTTCATTGACAAATTAAAGCAGAGTCACAAAATTTGGGATTGAGTTCCATGAGTTTTCTCCTATGGCTTGTTTCTCATAAATACTGAATCTACCAAATTACAATGCTTGTTTAAGCAACTACAATATAAATGGCAGGTTAAACGAAAAAGAATCGCTTCTAGTTAAATGAAAACGCAGAAAGTGTGTCACATATACTTTGCCCTGTTACATCAATAGTTTATCACAGATACCATGTAGGTGTTAAAAGCAGTACTCTCTCTCTCTCTCTCTCTCTCCCTGTACAACGCCAACTTACTTCTTAAAAGGATACACTTGCATGTTGATATTTCACAACATAACAATTCATAAATATCACAAGAACAGTTCAAATTGACATGTTGATTCTGATATGAAAGCTGCCCGGTGAAGATTGTGATAAAGTGCATGATAATTAATAATTATGCATTCAGTTTGATGGAATAAATTTAAAGCTAATGAGGACGATCGTATCTTTTGGGCTAATGACTGTCATTTTCAGAGAACAGCTTTGTTTCAGCCATGCTATGTTTTATGTCCTCAGCGTAAGTCACACTTCCGGAAGTCACGTGATCTTGGTCACACGTGCTGGACTGTATGCCCATAACGTCTTCATAAGTTATCAATGAAGAAATCTCTTCTTCCTGCATGATTAGAAACTTGGAAAGTGAGATTTATTCTGAATAATTATGCCAAGAAAAACAGTATTCGTCATACAATCAAAAAATGGCGATTACATGTTATCCAAAACAAAAGTCTTACATTATTAATTCTATTAAGTTCTTCCACAACACCAGTAAAATTAGGACGGACGTCCGCATCAACTTGCCAGCATCGTAACATCAAGCCATAACTGATGATTAAAAATATGTAATAACTAAAAGTGTTTGAAACATTTATCAGCGTTACCATGCATGTTAACCAAATCTGAGTAACAAAAACATTTTAAGAATTGAAATCTTACATTTGATATGGACATAAAGGAGGTTTCTCTAGTCTTCCACCTCCCTTGACATATTTCATCACTTCACCGTTAGATTTGCCGGGGTATGGCACGTGTCCCATTGAAAACAGCTCCCATAGAACTACCCCAAATGCCCTGCAAGATTATCAAATTAACAAGTGTAAGTAGCTTGTTTAGCTTCTAGATTTGCATTACATGAGCCTTTAGACTGGTCTTATCTCAATTACAGTAAAATAAAGTAAGCCTTCTTAGAAAGATCAGTGTTAACTGTTATTTCTTCTTTCTAGTTGACATTTGATAACTTTGCTCTTTTTGGTGACAAATTATGACTTGCATGTGAACAACTTTTCATTTCAAGTGTGGTTGCTAAAACATGTTGTCTGTACATACCAGACATCAGTTTTAGATGTGAATATCCCATCAAGAAAGCTCTCCGGTGGCATCCACTTCACGGGGACCATTGCCCTGCCATTTTTTCTGTAGTAGTTAGTTCTGAAGACGATCAATCAATTTTTTAACTGATATCATTGAAAAATAATGTCGTATATTGTGAAGTATATTGACAGAACTCTAATATTAATGCATTATTACTCTAAAACAATTCCATTAATTATCCGTATTATACCTGAGCACATCCCTCGCCATCCCAAAATCACCTATCTTGGCCACTCGGTTTGGACCTTTCTCAGTCAAAAGACAGTTTCTTGCAGCAATATCCCTACAAAAAGAAAAGAATTGTTAGAAGTTGAGCGTTTTTTTTTTACGATTTCTCTCATTCATAGAGCAAATAGTAATCATGTGAAAGTGATGGATTAACAAACCGGTGGATGAATTTGTTTTGTTCTAAGTAGTGACATCCTCGGGCAACATCTATTCCTAACTTCAGCAGATCATGTAAAGTAAGGTATGATGGTTCATGAGGCTGAAACAAAAACAGGTAGCCTTAAAATAATAATAGTGTCAAATAATAAAATGAGCTTTGGGAACTTTCCCCCTTAAATAATTTATAAAAAGTCCTTGAATTACATAGTGTTTCAATTTGGTTACAATTCCCAAAATCGCATTCAATCGATTTTTTTTTCATGCTTTTTACAATTTAAAGCAAGAAGACAGTGACAAGATGTTTAAAAAAAAACTCTTCACCTGTTTTGGTCGTGATTCTCTGATGAAGGTCCTCAGCTCTCCACCCTCCATCAGTTCAAGCAAGAGATACATAGAACGATCCTGATCATCGGTAGATATTCCAAGAAAGCGAACGATGTTTGGGTGGTTAAACTTGCTAAAAATATGTTAAATATACTTTTAAATATGGAAATATGGGGTTAAATGGTATGAAAATGATATTATATATATATATAGAGAGAGAGAGTAAAAATTTCAGTGATAAAAGTTTTCGATCAATTTTTTTTATATTGATCTCACCTTAGTGTTACAGCCTCAAAAAATAACTCTGCTTTAGTTTGTTCGGCACATAATGTTGGCAATTTCTACAAACAAAAAATAACTCTGCTTTAGTTTGTTCGGCACATAAAGTTGGCAATTTCTACAAACAAAAAATAACTCTGCTTTAGTTTGTTCGGCACATAAAGTTGGCAATTTCTACAAACAAAAAATAACTCTGCTTTAGTTTGTTCGGCACATAAAGTTGGCAATTTCTACAAACAAAAAATAACTCTGCTTTAGTTTGTTCGGCACATAAAGTTGGCAATTTTTACAAACAAAAAATAGCTCTGCTTTAGCTTGTTCGGCACATAAAGTTGGCAATTTCTACAAACAAAAAATAACTCTGCTTTAGTTTGTTCGGCACATAAAGTTGGCAATTTCTACAAACAAAAAATAACTCTGCTTTAGTTTGTTCGGCACATAAAGTTGGCAATTTCTACAAACAGAAATTATCGCGTAAGTGTCAGCGTCCTCTTATATTTTCAGCGAAACGGAATTAAATTGGCAACATGAAAAGGCATATAAAATCTTCGTTGTTTTACCAAGAGATGAATGAGTTATCATTTTACCTTGACGGCTATTGGTAAGTCCGTTCGAAGACGCGACACATCCGCAAGTAGTCCATAATATACCTCACCAAACGCACCCTTACCGAGAAGTCTGCAAAAATAATTGGGTGTTGAAATAAGTATTTATTTCATGAAAAGTACTAACGTGTTATCAAAATAGAAAAAAAAAACACGACAGAGAAGATTGGTGGCAAGATCACCATCTCCATATTAAAAACTCTAAAATACCTCTCAATTCTTTTGTTAAGAAAAATATGTTTTTAATCCAATTATCAAAAGGAAAATAGAAAGTTAAATCGAAGCGATAAAACATTATTAAACTGAAATATGAAGAACAAAATGAAATTCTTTTATCTTCCTCAATAGATGACTTGCCGAACAAGTTTGATTTTCTTTCTGGGTATATCTCTAATCTTATCTTCGGTCCACTCATAGTACGGTGAGATGTTAGACACTGCCAAGTTACTGGGAACAAGAGACTGGCGTTCGCTGTCAGCGGAAGAGGCGTCAGAAATGTCAACTGGAATCGAACACTTCCCATCTATTCCGGAGGAAGTTGTAGATGTAGATACCGGAAGTATATTCCGAAGACTTTCATCCTTGAGATTTTGCCTCTTTTTGAAAACTAAAGAAATAAATTTAGTTAGGTGAAGTAACTTAGTAGGTATTTGTTATCAAAATAATTCTAATGTCCTAGTCAAGATGCCTCCTGATTTCTTTCTTTATTGTTATATTCCATTTCAAATGAATATTCATTGTCAACAATAAAAGTTAATTATACATCATATGGAATATCGAAGCATTAATTGAAATTCCCTACTTTTTTTCTAATCCTTTTATAAACACATAGGATATATACCTGAGAAAATGACCACAGCAGTAACCATAGCAACGACAATACCAGCCCCAATCCCGAGAATAGTGAGGATATAACTAGAACCGTCGTCTAACTCCACTTGCGTAGACACTAAAAACCAAATACAAATTTAAAAAAAATATATATAATAATCAATACTAAATTTTTTTTGTTTGCTTAGAAAATTAGTATCATGGTCGTATGTACCGGGAGGGGGAGGGGGCACGGATTTTGCCGATATAATATACTATAGAAAACAAAGCAACTTTATGTACCTACCCCCATTTGAGTAGTGCCCACCCAAATTGAACAATTCCAAATAAGTCAACGAAAATTAATATTCAGAAAAATAGTATCAGTATAATATTTTGAACAGGATATGTGTTTTCTGTTAATTAGGTGGGATTTTTTTTGTTAAGTTTTAAACTTATTCGAGTTAAAAAATTAAAGGCTTGTCCACTGAATATACTAAGTATTTTTACCCTCCTCCATGTGTGGTTCCATCCATTCATCAGATTTTGTAAAGCAGTCAGGTGTAAAACTTATCTGGTCTAGGGCCACAATACCCCCGATAGAAGCAAGTGATCCGTGTAATACGACTTGGAATCTTACAAAATAAGACAATATAGTACATGTAAGCTATGAGGTGGTTAAAAGATGTACATGTTCTCAATAATTAGTGGTCAAAGATTAATACCAGTTTTTTAAATATTATTTTTTTTACATTTAAATTGCTACACATTACAAAGGAATACAAACAACTTTTTACATAGCAAAAATTTAACATCATAACAAAGCTAAAGAAAAAAGTTATGGTAGAAGTCGTTTTAAGGCTTTTGATAACATGTTGCAGTTTTGAAGAATACATGAGTAACTTACGGTTGATATCGATGCGGTATACTAACAGATGCCCTCTGCCATTCCAACTCGGCGGTAATACGAACGAAAGTTTTTACAAGCTCACAACTGGATTCGTTAAAACAGGTGGAGACACTTATTTTATCAAAATTGTCTGCTATATACCAAAACCGCACCTGTAATAAAAACATTGAAATCGTGAATCATAATCCATAAATGTGTCAATTTTTTTTATATAAAATGCTTTCATGTTAAGCTGCCATATCAAACCCGCTAACTCCCTGTACGTTTTTAAAATACTGGACAAATACTCCCTGCCATGAGCAATGTGATGGCGGGTAAATTCTATTGTTCCTACTTAATTAACTCGATCAAACTTTAATATCAGTCTCTGATGTTCACCTACCCTACAGTCCTTAGAAGCATTGAATGGCTGCATTACTGGACTTATAAGCTTGGAGGACTCCTTGTTTTTACATTTATCAGCAAAAATGACGAAGTCTGAAAAGAGATCACATCAACTTTAAAGCTTTGAGATTTGACCAAGTTGGCATATATTTCGGGAAAATTTCCCCCATGGTCAATGGAGAAAAAGAAAAAAGACTGTGTAAATGTTTTATAAAGAATACTATGAACTTATACTTTCATCAAATTTTAGTGTCATGAAATAATGCACATAATCATTTATCTTGAATGAAATATTATACGGATAACATTTGCATTGTAACATCGGAAATACTTAATCGCTTTAGGGAAACTCAGAAATGTCATTCTTGTATTGGTGAAAATAGTTTTCATTGACTGTCATGAATTTGTAAAACAATTGATAAGATTTTGCTTCTTTTAATTGAAAGGGATTACCCAGTATATCCGAGGATATCAAGCAAAACATCATATAACAGCCGCAATCACTTCATTTTGGTTCTATTTTTGAGTGTCAATGATCATTTGTAAGAGATAGGACATTAATATCTTTCTTGGCTGCATTTCAAGTGTAGGATTCCTTTCCACACCCACAAAGCAATTACATAAGTATTTATGGCCATAAAACAAAGCTTTTCTGAATAATTTGCCAGTAATTCCTCACGCACCTGTCTGACCATAATGACAATACTTGTGGTATTTGACGATGTTGTATTCATTGGTAGTCTTTCTCTGAAATGGACACTGAGGACTCTGGGTCCAGTTACATCTATCACTGTCCACATCACAAAATGCTCTATAACTGTTTTTATCTGTGAAACAAAAAAATATGAATGCAACATTGAGACGAAATAGAGTCTAAGTCGAGTCTTAATGAAATTCACCTTTGGAAGTTGTGAATAGTTTATATCAGTAAACTTTTTTAAATTATAAAATCGGTGGTATTTGATTTAAAACATTTAAGCGATGTCAAATATAAGAGGGAACATTTTTTTTTACCAAATAAGTGAACCATTTTTCTTAGAACTACTAAAAGCAGATGATAGAAAATAATTCGTTTGTACAAAATGTAACAAAACAATCACAAGGTAATAATACCGCAGAAATCTCTTTCTTCGTCATCTTGTAGGGGACAATCTGGGTTTAAGTCGCACACTCTGTCCTTAGGAATACATTTACCAGTAGAACACTGGAATTCTTTATCACTGCACTGGGCGACTTCTATAAAATATTAAAAGGAAAATATTGTGGAATATCATGCTCATTTAGTCATCTTGTATCTAAGCCAGCAAGCATGAAATTGGCAAAGTCTAACCGTTCTCCTAAACTTGTGCCTACAACACTTTTGTCATTTGTGAATGTCTTGGTCTCGATCACTGAGCCTTTAACTCGAACTTTTTTTTATAAAAGAAAATGCCTGGCTCCGTTGGCCATAAAACCTAGACGAGCTCACTTTCGATATCAGCCTCACTTTTCCACTATATATTTCTTTTGTAAAATTGAGATAATAAATGAGCTCATCTAAGTTTTATGGCCCCAGAGGTGATATTTTTGTATCAAATAAGGTACCAAAACTTCACTCTTTATAATGTGGACGCAACATTCACACTGACACATACTGGCAACAATACTACAATGATGTAGTTTTACTTGCTTGTGTTGCTACCTGTAATTTCCATGCAATTTCCCAGCCACATCCTTTGGACTGCCGCTATATATATTGCGTGGATACAGACAGTAAGTTGAAACAGTTCGTCCACCCTTCCGATGGGAATTCTTACAACAGTCCAATTCCTGCAAGGTCAAACACCAGTAATGCACTTCTTAATTAAGTAAATGTAATAATACAATGTAAATTTGCGTGATTTATGGAAATAAATAAACTTGCTTATTTTCAAGTTTTATACATGACTCGGTAGTTTTTTTTTCTTTTTTTTTTTTTTGTCTTGAAGTTCTTGTGAATCGATCATTTATTAATTGCTCTCGCCCTTCACTGATGAATTCTTGTTAATTGAATTGCTCGTGACGAGAATTTGTGGGAGGTGTAAGTACGCTTAGCAATTTCATGTGTGAATGAAAATCATCTTTCACGGTAAACAAACACTAAAACGAAATCCCAAGAGCTGAAATAAACACGTCAATCTTAATAAACTGCTTCGTGATTTTCTAAGAGTCCATTAAATTATTAAAATCTTTAAGACAATTAGAAACTGTGAATTTGATAGGGTGAAATCTGTTAATGGGTGTTTTTCTGAGAATGAAATGTACTAGTGACGTCAAATATAAATGGGTTCACATTGAATTCATAGGGCCCTGAACTAAATAGCACTGAAATGATATGTAGCTATCAAATTGATCCTCTCATTTAAGGAAGATATTACGATATTACTATAGAATGGGAACAGGAAATGCATTATGTTAAAATCAAATATACTGGTTTAAATGCAAAGAGGGTCTAGCTGAAGAGAAGGGTGTTCGAATTACGGCGGGTGGGGGATGGGGAGGGGTTGTTTGTTCATCAGTTACATAATTAAAAAAATACATTCTTTATTAGATTATCAGAATATATGAAATTACAAAATGCCCTTACATTTTTTCAGAATCGAACTTCTTTCGCATTAAGGGTGTTGACCCCCTCGACGAATTGAGGGAAACTGTGACATAAGTAGCAGAGTAGGCCGTCATCAGAATGTTTAGAGAACAGTTGGTTCCGCTTCCATATATGTCACGGGACCTCCAGTGAGTTCTCTCTTCCTCTATAGTGTAAAAAAAAAATCAAAATTCAAATTAATTTTAAAGAATCCTTTATCAATTTGAAAGACAAATTAATGAACTGGAATACATGCAAGTCCTACAGATTCATTGAATTCCCGAGTCCCCTCTATGAAATTTCACCTCAAAATTACAATACACCAATTCTCAGATAAATTTACTTTTCTTTTTTAAAGCTTAAATTCCAGACCGATCTTGCCTAGATTCTTAAAGAAAATCAAACTAAGGAATCGAATCTACCCCTTATTGATAACTCGTTTTAGCATATATGAAATACATTGTACGTTTTTATCGATTCACAATCACCGGTCGCAGGCTTTTTACAAAGGGTGACGGCAAGTATAAATATTTAACTGACTTGCTTGCATCTTAGAATGATTTTTAATACTGCTGACTCGGCATTAAACAATAATCAATCAATCAATCAATCATTACCTTCACCATAAAACTTTTTGAACTTCTAACTCTGAAATATGCATGCCAGTGTCCTCATTTAGATTGCTTGTGAAAATTCTTCTTGTTAATGGCCGCATAAAAGATTCTTATCTTGATGCTTATATAAAATACTGGAAAAACACGACAGTTGCTATGTATAAGTGGCTTGATCACTTTCCAAAACCAAATCCAATCTGTTTTTCCGCTTGAAGCCGTCGGATTTTTAAGATTTAGTTCAAGATAAACCATCGCACAGGACCTTTTTATTAGCATTTTATATAATACATGTAGCATGTGAGGAAATGCACTATTACCATGTAGTCAGACAAAATGATGTCTTACCTGTTGCTGCTACATAGGAAAGGGTATTTTTTGGTTTGGGTATGTATTTACACCATGGGAGTCGACAGGAATCGGAGTGTACCATGGATCCATTCGTCGTCCATGAAAGACAGGAACTTGTGTTAAAGTCGCAGTCAACCGCTGTCAAGTGAAAATTATGTGCATGTACATTAATATATTTTTTTAAAGACACTCTAAAGAAAAATGAATTTTGGTTGAAAAAAAAAATATATATATATGTATAGTTTATTTCATTTTCAACACAGTGTCCCAACCCTTTACCCCCAGGAAAATATTTTAAAGACTCTAAGTAATGATGAACAGGACCCATTGTTGCTTAATATATATGGGAATACAGGAAAATGCATTTCAAGTAATAGGTTAAGTTATAGGAGGATCCTAACTGCAAAAAAATACTTCGGAATTAGTACACCTTAGTATGAAATCTATAGAGGGTCTTTAAATGCCTCAAGAAACTAAAGAAAACATGTCACAGGACGGTAGCAATGTTTTTCAAAGGAGGCAGGGAGGACGAGAAAAAATGTGGTAAAAAACCTAATCTGCTCAAATTTGAAAATCCTCTTTGGGAGGGGGAGTGTAGGATCTTTCTCTAACTTTTTTGCAAACTCCTTTAAAAAAAAAATGGAACAACCTTCAACCATATTGTATCAAAAAAGGGGGGAGTGGGGGGGGGGGGGGGGGCAAGCAACCTTTGAATAAAAATTTTCATACTTAATCTACACCAAATGATTACTCTACAAAAATAGAGGAACATCCCCTTTTCCCAAATACTACGGTACTGTACAGTAACAAGGAAGAAAAATACAAATGTTTATCAAGCGTAAGTATTTGAAGATAGGAGAATTGAAAGCAGCAGAATTGAAATTTTATAAAGTATTACAAAATCCAGAAGTGTAATGCAAGTAATATGATAGAACTGAGAGACGAAAAAAAAATTGCAGGGAGTTGTCTCTTCCAAGCTTTACATGCTTAAGTAGGAAAAAAAAGTTCAGGTTTCAACTACCAATTAATTTTTTTTTACAATCCCTAAAAAATATGTCTATATTTCAAGCACCACGTATTTTCTTACATAGTCCGCGTTACTAAAAAGAAGTGCATGGTATGGCACGTTCTTGGTGGTTGGTCACGGAGACTTCCGGTGACACCTGTCGCCATGACGTGATTTTTTGGGGAGCGGAGAGTTAAAGGGAAAATCGTCATATAATTTACATTTGTGTGGTCTGAAACATGTCTACATGTGATTCGTAAGTTAAAGACCTAGTATATTCTTAGTATAAACTTCCTTATCATTCAAAAACTCTGGAAAACTTTGTTCTTTTAAACAAGTGTGATCAGCTATTGGGTGCTTGGTGAGCGATGTTCAACATATGAGTCGTCAAGTTGAAAATAAACGTAAGCGATCTCTTGGTAGTTCTTTTGAAGAACAAAAACCTTTAAGAAGACGTTACAATTCATCTTCTCTACCCAACATTTCATCTATTGGGTTAGAAATGTCTTCTAATAACGTTTCCAAGTTTAGACAACAACCTAGTCCCATTGTACAAACCAATCCCCTATCCAAGGGCTTTGCTACCTCCTCACCTATTGTTGGTACAGTAGGGTCTCTTGATACATCTGAGGACACTTCATCTATCAATCATGATTTGGCACCATCATCTGCTATTAATGATATTATAATAAAGACTGTCAGCAGCCAAGCATTCATTGGATCGCTTGTTCCGCTTATTGCGACAGCTTTAGCACCTCATATCCAAGTTATTATACAAAGCTGTTTACATTCAATGTCAGAGACCATCAAAACTCAACAAGAAACAATTAAAAAACAAGCTGATGAAATCAAGAATGTTAAAGAAATAAACTCTGACTTAGAACAAAGAGTGAGCGATCTCGAATGTGGCCTTGACGACCTGGAACAATACGGCAGAAGAACTTGCCTTCGTTTCCACAACGTCAACCTAACAAACGAACAAGCTCAGAATACGGACGAAGTTGTCATTGGTATTTGTAAGACAATGGGGGTTAACATCGTAGCTGACGATATCAATAGGTCCCATCCTATCGGTCGCCCTAACCCCAATAATCAAAATCTAAGACAAATAATTTGTAGCTTTCGCAACTGGAAAATCAAAAACAAAATCTTTAGTACCAAGAAAAATCTAAAGGAAAATCCACAAAACCCGAGCAAAATTTTCATTACGGAAGACTTAACTAAGTACAGACAATTTGTGGTCAAAAAATTATAGAAGCAAAAAAAGCAAAAAAACTGGATAGTTTCTGGACATACGACGGTAGAATATTTGTCAAAACCGAAAGGGATGGAGACAGAGTTCAAATCACCTCGGTGGATGACCTCTACGAACTAATTGGTTAGATATATCAAGCACCTGCCTATATATTTATGTCACATGCATGTAAAATACAGAATCAACATTTTTAATATTATGGATATGCTCAAAACATATTAATTTAAAAATTTCCATACTCTCCAATACCAGTGTATTGTTTTGCTCTCTGAACAATGTTGTTAGACACGCTTTGTTTATTTACATACATAGTTAGTCTTGTATATATGTTTGTTATGACTGACTTACAAGTACTTGTTCTTGTAACAAGCCCTAGTTCATTTTTCTCTGTTTACAATCTGTTTTTTATTTTGATTACATCTACAATGGGTTTCAGTTTTTCTAGACAATATCAATATTTATATGTTTGCAAGCTACAACGTTGCTGTTTTTTGCGGCTTTATTTTATTTTCCTTCAACCCAAAACACTAGTTATTACCGATCATGGGTAATACTCTTGATCAACATCGAGCCGCAATTGGAATTTTTTACCTCCGAAATAGATGCACAATCAAATCCATGACTTATTGTTTTTTCAGATTTATACATTTATTCTCCTTGTTGTTAAAAGTGTACCAATGTTGTAAACAAAAATTCAAAGTTTGCATGAAATACGCAGTATATTTTCAGCATGTCAATTTTCTTTTTCAACTTATAAGCATTTTACTACTGTTGTCTGGGGATATTGAATCAAACCCTGGACCTACAAATAACATAGTCCGTACTTTAGATATTTTTCATATAAACATAAGAAGTATAAGAAACAAAATTGAAACTTTAATATCATTTGTCAGTGATTATCACATTTTGTGTTTTACAGAAACACATTTAGATGCAAATATTGACGACAACGCTATTTCAATTGAGGGGTTTTCTAAAATTTTTCGCAAAGATCGAAACTCATATGGGGGCGGTACACTTATTTATGTATCCGATTCACTTAGAGCTTTAAGACGTGCTGACCTTGAACCTTTGAACACTGAATGTATATGGATAGAAGTAAGCGATCCTAATATTTACCTTTGCTGTCTGTATCGGCCTCCGAATTCTGACAAATCCTTTTGGAAAAACATAATGTGGTCCATTGAAAAAGTTTCTGATATATCCAACAAAATAATAATCCTTGGAGACTTAAATGTAGATTTTTTAGATATCCCACACACTCACATAGTTAACGAAATTTTGTCCCAACATAGCCTTTGTAATATCATCAACGAAGCAACGAGAGTCACGAGTAGTTCGAGCACGCTTATTGACCCAATTCTAGTTAGCTCAGACATCAGAGTGCTTCACTCCGGAACTGTTCAGGTTGATAATTTTATAAGTGATCATAAAGGAACCTATGTTTATGTTAAGTCAGATGTTATTCAAAATCAATCATACGAAAGAAAAGTTTGGTTATATAAACATGCAGATATGGATAAATTGAATTCTCTTATTGAAAATACTGACTGGAACACACTTATTAGTGAAGCACCGGATATAGATCAAGCAACAAATAATTTTACATCAACATTTTTGAATATTGTGAAGGAATGTATTCCTGAAAAATCGGTTGTAATTCGTCCAAAAGGCAAACCTTGGTTTGATTCGGCTTTGCGTAAAACACATAGAACTAAAAAAAGATTATTTGATAGGGCTCAAAGGACAAAAAGAAACTCTGACTGGGAAAAATATAAAAAATGTAGGAACAATTTTAACAATATGAAAAAAATTGCGATCGAAAATTATTATAATAATATAGAACACCACATTACAGATGCAAGTAAAAATAATTCGAAACTGTACTGGAAATTATTGAGAGATATATTTAAAGTTAAATCAACTACAGACATTCCCCCTCTACAGTATACTTCTATTAATGGTGATGCATCTATTGCTTTTTCAAATGAAGAGAAAATAGATGTTTTAAATGATTATTTTGCTTCTATTACTTGTATTGATGATAGCGACGCTGTGTTACCGGACTTTTTTTTCTGCTTGCAATAGCACATTTGATACCATCTGTATTTGTGAACAAGAAATCATAGATATTATTTCAATTCTACCTGTAAATAAAGCAATAGGCCCAGACAATATTAGTCACAAGATGTTGAAATCCACAATGTATACTATTGTAAAACCGTTATGTTTATTGTTTAACAGGTCATTAGTTGATTGTATTTTTCCTTGTAAATGGAAAGTTGCTAATGTTCTCCCTTTATTTAAGAAAGATGATCCTTCTATTATGTCTAATTATAGACCTGTGTCATTGCTAAGTTGTATTGGTAAAGTAATGGAACGAATCATATTTAAACACTTGTATAATCACTTTCATGATAACAAACTTTTTTATAAATACCAAGCTGGATTTCTACCAGGTCACTCCACTGTATATCAATTAATTGAAACATATGATACTATTGTTAAAGCTATTGACAACGGTGAACATTGTTGCATGATATTTTGTGATCTTTCTAAAGCTTTTGATCGTGTATGGCATAAGGGTCTCTTGTTTAAACTCAGAACTTATGGTATAGAAGGAAATTTGTTTCAATGGTTAAAGAGTTACATAGAGGGTAGATCACAACGAGTTTTATACAGAAACTTATTATCTGACAAAAAACCTTTATATGCGGGTGTCCCTCAAGGCTCAGTGTTAGGACCTCTATTATTTCTTATATATGTAAATGATGTTGCTGAAGAAATGACAAGTTTTTGTAGTATTTGCAGATGATAACTCCCTTCAGCAGTCATCTAAAAATGTCAATACTATCGAAAACAAACTGAATTATGATCTTAACAAGCTAGAAATTTGGTCGAAAAAATGGCTTCTTAAATTTAACTCTTCTAAAACTAAAGCAATATTTTTCAACTTGAGAGGAAGTGTTAATTATCCTAAACTCTTCTTCCAGCAAAATCAGCTAGAATTTGTCTCTTCGCATAAACATTTAGGGATTTTTTTCTCACATGATCTTAGTTGGTCTACACATATTGATACTATTCTAACTAATGCGTATAAAAAAATGGGCTTATTAAAAAAACTTAAATTTGTAGTAAATCGGAAAACTCTTTCACTCATGTACACAACCTTTATTAGGCCACAATTAGAATATGCTTCACTGGTGTGGGGTGGGTGTAATGTAGGTGATAGCGAAAAATTAGAAAAATTACAATTATGTGCTGCTAGAATTGTCACAGGCTTAACTCTGTTAGCTTCTAAAGATGCACTTTACTTTGAAACTGGATGGGAACCATTACATGAAAGAAGGAAAAATACTAGATTAACTACAATGTACAAAATTTATAATAATCAAGTTCCTGAGTATCTGACTGATATAATCCCAAATTTGCGTTGTAATTCATCAAGTTACAGTACGAGAAATTCACATAACTATAACATACCCAAATGCAGATTACAAACCTACAAGTCAACTTTCATTCCCCTTGTTATTGATGAATGGAACTCATTACCTCTTGTTGTAAGAAATTCTTCCTCATTATCTATTTTTAAAAAGTCTATTTCTTATAATAAAACTATGCCACCCTCTTACTTCAGTTACGGAAATCGACGCTTAAATATATTACATACAAGGCTTCGACACAACTGTGTACTTAATAGCGATCTTTTTCGATGTAATATAATCTCGAGTCCCTTATGTTCCTGTGGAAGAGTAGAGGACACCCATCATTATTTCTTCTCGTGCAAAAAATATACAGAAGCCAGAAAAGAATTTTTCGATAAATTTCTGCGAATGGGAAAATTACATACTGTCGATACTCATACATTACTCTGGGGAGATGAAAAGTTAAACAATGTTGAAAATGAATACTTATTTTCTATTGTACAAACATTTATTAAAAAGTCAGGTCGTTTTGGTTGATGCAATAATTACTTCTTGCAAATTCTATACAGCTTGTATATTGTATAATGTTTCTCTGATTATTATGCTTTTCTGTGTTTTATTCATTTTAAGCTGAAACCCATATATGTAAATATGTTTTGGTATAATTCATATGTAGGGAGAGGGCGTATTAAGTTTTAAGAACTTTTGCCCAATCCCAGTTGTAAAGTTTATAGACAATAAAATATGTTCAAACCAACCAAATAATAATACAAGTAAACATTATTTTTTGTGATTTTAACATTTTTTTTCATTCTCTGGTAGGTTGTCATGCTGCTGGTTATGTTTACGCTCTGTTGTGTTGACTGTTAATTTTATTAATAGAATCATTTTATGAACATTCGAAGATTGTTAAATACTGATCATATCATGGAAAGGATGAGATAGACTAATTTTACAGAAATAAAATTTGCTGAAATTGTCAATCCCCTATATGAGGGTAGTAACTTTTCAGACGTGCAACTTGCTTCAAGCTAATTATGTTCTAGTATTGTTACATGTACATATGATCACTGGATACGAATTAGACAAGGAATTTTTCCTATTGCTGTCCGTATGCTCAAATTGCACCAATCCCCCAACTTTCGCTTTTTACCAGCTTTCCTTGCCGATTGACTTAACAGTGAGTAAAATTAACATTATTATCCGAAATCAGTGACTTTGGGTGTCTTATTTGTCATATACAGCAAACATTAAGACGTTCCGCAGTGCAAAGCCTTTAATCAAGTTAATTAGGATGTTAATCGATTTTGTCGTGAAGGTCCTTTATCGAGTCCCTTTGGTCTTAATGGACGTGTCGATTTTGTTTACAACCCTTCATCTTATTCATATGCCGATATGGATACGATTATCTAAGCAGAATTGATGTCTGACTGAATTTTCATTTCAAATTATTTCCGATATAATTACACAGCTCGTCCCAAGGACAATCAGAGGGCTTTTACCGGGAGGGATCTAAGACAGTGCTAAAACCTTTAATATCGATGACTAAGATCAATGCTCAAAATAAAGCAAAACAAGATTTGCTTCTAATCTTCGTGTGGTTTGACACATTTTCTTCCACAAACAACACAATCGTTCCCAGACCTTATACACGTTTAAATACAAGGATTATTGGTAATACAGCTGTTTACGACTCTTGTTCTCTATATGTCTGTAAGACGGTTTAGTTACGATTGTGCACGTCTTGGTACAAACACTGCGAGTTCCTCAAGTTGTCCTCTTAGATTGAGTAAACCGGGATTTTAAAAGAAGGATGTAATGCCAATATCAATAAACAGACATATATTTAGTATACTTTCAGCATAATAATTATTCTAATATACTTTTATCATAATAATTATTCTAATATATTTTTATCATATTAATTATTCTAATATGCTTTTATCATGAAAATTATTGACATTCGTGATGATAAGAAATGAAATTTTAGTAAGCTAGCTTATTAATCATTGACACTATTTTTTATTTGCATGTACATGTAATAGATTTTCCTAACGTCATTATTAAGCGAGCAGTGTCCTCATTCAAATGCATGACTGGTAACTGCTGAAGACTGACTGAAGACGGCTGTTTTGATCAATCAGAATAGCACAGCTTTATAGGGTTTTAAAAAAGAAAAAGGCCAAACTTTTAAACAGTAATACTAACCTAAAACTAATAATAATAAAATCACAGTGCAATTTAATTGGTTTGCCTTGTATTGCTGGACAGATCACCATGTAATGAACATTATTAGAACAAGTATACTATGCAGTATAACGTTTTTCCTACTTTGTACAATTGTAACTGCTTAATTTAATGTGTATAAATGATAGAAGAAGTGAAAAAAGGCAATGCAGTTTTGGAGCTGGAATTGAACAACAATTTCCTTTGGCTATAACTATGTTAAGCTAGATGTCGCAATGCTCTGTTGAGACATCGCCAATACACATGTTGCTTAAAAATAACGGAAATCTACAGCATTATAAACAAAGTTATAAAATTATCTAAATGTGATATTGATGTTTCCTAGTAACATTAATATCTGTAAATGTGTTTCAACTCGGTAAGGACATATGTTACACAAATACGTACATGCTGGATTACGTCAATGGTCAAATCTATAGGAAAATTGAATTTATTTTGTTGAATAGATAGCACCTAAATCTAATTGTCTGTTTACAGATTCCTTCTCTTTTGGCATGTTTTCTTTAGAATTATCGGGTAAATCGGAGTTCAAAGCAGTCCAACAACTGTTTTTAATTTTTAAGAAAAAATACTTTCCAATTTTCTTTTTCAGTAGGGCTTATCTCTAAAATCTGCACCATGGCCGCTATCGCCATCAGATTGTGTAAAAATGCCAGATACTGATGCATATTGATATTTTTACTCAGACATCCCGGAATTGATTTCACACAGAATTCTATCTTCAAGAAATCAGTTAAATTCCTTAAAGCTTGACAAATCCCAAACAGACAAGTACCTGGTTACATGCCAGAGAAATATTAAACCATTCCAGAAATAAGAGAATTCTGAACAGCATGCATCGAAATCGTGAGAAAATAGCAACATGGACACTTGTATGAAGAGTAAAAGGTAGCTTTGGATCGAGGATAGGAATTCCTGAATCCAGAATAGAGGCTGCTGGATCAAGAATAGAAGTTCCTGGATCGAGAATAGAAGCTTGGGATTGAGAATAGAAGCTCCTGGATCTAGGATAGAGGCCTTTAGATCGAGGATAGAAGTTCTTGGGTAGGGGATAGGAGCTCTTGGATCGCGGAAAGAAGCTATTGGATCGAGAATAGAAGCTCCTGGATCGAGAATAGAAGCTCATGGGCCGAGGATAGCTAGAAGCTAGGAGGTTAAAATCCAAAGTTCTTTGATGTGTTTTCAAGTCAATAAATTTTGCTGTCTTAACTATTTAAATAAAAAACGAATGAATAATTAATTATGCATGGTCATTACTACTTATGAAATCAATAAGTATTTATATGTTCCCATCCGACGCTGGTGAGTATAATTAGCCATTTATTTTATTTCATTTCTTTTCTTTTTTTTCCTTTTGGCATTCGGCTTCTTACAAACACTTTGATTATTTATTTATTTATTACAATATTTGAGGCAAGGTATAGTTCACGTTAGTTGTAATTCATTTAGAATAAAAACCTTCATTGATTACAAAAATTCGACAGCGTGAAGATAATTTAAACTAATACTGAATATTCCTTACCGTCAGCTTATTTATTGAATACATACACTTGTGTATCTCTATAGATGATTCCCAGGGGATTTAATAATAGCAAGTACTTGGAAAGGCATGACAATATTACTACTTATTGTGTGTATCAAAATTGCTTGTTTTTTAAAGGAATTTCGTATGCCTTTGAGCTTTCTTTGTGAACATCTGTGCGATTCAAGATTTGCAGTACATGAAGTTTTTGATTAATGACTTTTTGAAAATTTATATATCAAAAGATTCCTGAACTAATTTGTATTTTTTAGAATTCTTCCGAGACTTTAGATCCCGTTGATTAATTATTTAGCACATCCCACTCTTTGATGAGCGATCATTTTGTGTTTAGAAAAGAGACGTTTACATTACAAATGTCTGTGAGGTTTGCCAATATACACTGAAGACAGTCGGTACACACTTGATACAGATAACTACACAAAATTATGAGGATTTATTCCCAATTGAGGTTTTTAATTAAACAATGTTATTCCCAATACATACGTCATTCTTTTCCCATTTAAGCAGAAACTGAACCAATAAGTGTTTGGCGTTTCATATTTCTCTAAAGAGAAATAATAAATTATTTCATAAAGCTGCTTACCTTTAAAATTAGCCTCAAGTTTCTGGAACGAAAAAGGATCCTTTCTATTAACTGTTTTTAGTTTTATGTTTTCGTCAAACAGAGAAACAGTTAGATTCCAAGCACCTTTTTTCACACATTCCAAGACACGACCGTCTTGTAGAGAAAAATCGAGATAATATTCAGTCGTGTTTCCATTCTGTTTCACCCTTGTAATGTGAGGCAGTTTGAAACTTGCAGAACTTAAATTTGGACACCAGGAATACAGTGTCCATGATGAATTGGAACTTTTAATGTACTCCGGAGACACTTCCACTACCGCTCTTATATTTTCTAAAACCTGGCCTCTGACTTTGTCAGAAATATCGTAATTAAAAGAACAAGTCACACGAAAATCATTGTCAGAAACATACATCGTTTGAACATCCTTCGGATTTGTTTCAAATAAATATCCTTGAGATACGTAGAATAATGCTAGCAATAAAACAAGAAAAACTTCACCACTCGCCATTTTCTTGTTATTGCTCTTTAATAAAGTCTTTGTACGGATTTAAATTAAAATGGATTTAAAAGTTGCAAATGCAGATTAACCTCCCTGGATTAAGAGATCAGCGTTTTAGGTTAGAGCTTCCAGGGTTTCTCGGGTCTTTATCCAAATACAACGGTTTTTCTTCGTCACGTGTTAGACTTACTGAATATGTTGCACTTTGGACAATGATTCATTGACAAAATGACGATTTCATAAATTCCTGAGCAGCATGCTACTTCGCTAGCGTTCGATAAATGTCTCTTCGATATACATATTGCAACTGAGCTGTGTCGAGTTCCCGCCTTGTGTCGAAGAGTCTAAAGCGTTTTCACCAGCTTTTGACACATATATATATATATATATATAATATATATTTCTAAGTGCGAGTCAGGCGTGAGATGCAGGTATAATCGATTTCTTGCATAGCTTAACGACCTACATAAATAGTGAATGGGGAGCAAGGCTGCTTATTTATATATACTGCAATTTCTTCCCACTCAAAATTCTCCCCCTCTCAACCATACGTCCCCCTTGACAAAACATATCGTGCTAATTTGATAGATGATATAATTCGGTAATAGCACGATGTATTTTAAGGAATACTAAAGCTGCAAAATTAATTGTCACATCCTACGTTCCAGGAATAAGTATTTCACACTGGGATATCTTTATTGAGAGCATCTTTTCAAATTGCTACAGTTTTTAGAAAAAATCTGCTAAATTTTTAAACATGGTTCCATTGTCATAAATTAATTGTTTTGAAAACCGATACCTCAGATCGATGCATATAGAAGTGTATATTAAAAGTCTAATGTTAGTTTTAGGGCTTTATAAATGTCAAATGCATTTCATTTCAGATCCTGGTATGATATTATCTTCTCCAGAGGAACAAAGTTAGCATAGCTCTATTCTCTTCAGAAATTGCATTTACACTCACAAATCAAATATCACCTCTTTTAATAGTTGCTATCTCTGTTGCATCATCTGTGACATTCAGTTGTGAGAGAAATTGTCCTTGAATCCTTGATATGTGATTTTATTTATTTTTCTGTATGCAATTCAAATATTTCTTTTCATGTGTCAGAACAACAAAGGTCGGTAAAGTGATTTACATTAAGGGTTACTACCCCCGGGTTCATGGTTGGTCCATTTACTTATTATTGTAAGTAACATTTCCTTTATCTGTATTTTTTTTTATTGGGGGGAGGGGGAGGGGGACTCATGCCTCCCCTGCTTCATCCAGTGTTGTTAGAGTGAAATTTGCATAAGATAGAATTATTATTCAGGCGCAGCAACAATAAATAGCCAAGTGACTGTCCTACGAAAATTATGACTTATAATTGACCTATATTGAAAAAATTCATTTATTTTTAGTCTGTACTTCATGCAGTGTAAAATCAAAGAACTTATTAATGCAAAAAGCATGAATTGCAAGTCAAAAGCAGCTTTAAAAAGATTTATTGTAGATTCTATTCGAATTTCTCCGATCAATTTCGAAAATTTTGTGTTAAAATCTGCTCTCTTTCATACCTCCGATATTGTTGAACGATATGGAGAAAAAGGTAACAGGAAACAAGAATGTTAGAAACAAAATGTTTTTAAACATAGACACTTGATCAAAGGTACATGTAACCTGCTGGCTCTTTATAATTTTTAATTTCAGCCCGTTTAAAAATTTGGGAAGGATTCAACAAAAAGTGCTGTTTAGTGCAATTTGTTTTCTCTGTTTTAAACTGACTAAAACCAATCAATGCACTCTGCCGACCTAAAATGAAGATATCCTGGCTAAATAATCTTTGGAGAGAGAAATAAAAATAAGGATTTTGTAGAAAACAACTAATTTCAAAGCAATTCCGACAGAAGAATCATTATTAAGGTATATTGATACTCTGATAAGAAAGAGAGAGTTGAGGTGTCTTTTTTGTCCAATTTTACCCCGCAAGCTATGCTATAACTGTTTTATTTAATTTGTAAAACGCATTTCTTTTAGAAAATCATCAGACTTTGTGAAATTTACATTTAGTTGTCAATATCGAGAAATCAGCACGCTTAAATTTAAATGCCAACACCGAGAAAAAAGTTGAAAATGTTTGTCTGTTTAACGTTTCCTGAGAATTTTTCACTCATATTGAGACACCAGCACTTGCTGTTAGAGGGATGCCAGTTTAGATCTGTACTGGGCAGTTGTGGCTTTTCAGTAGTGAGGGATCTTTTTTGTGCCAGCGTCTACTGCGACTCGGGACCTTGCTTTGTAGGGTTTCATCCGAAAAACTGGTCTCCATGCCCCACTGCGGGATTCGAACCCGCGACAAATATACCACGATAGACTCACATACAAAGATAAGATTTTAATATACGAGGGTTATTGAATAAATTCGCAGACTTTTGTCATAACTTTTTAATTTAACGTCATATTATGACCAAAGTGGGTAGAAATATTTCAACAATAAATCTGGAGAAAAAAAATTAATTTAAAAATCTAAATATATCATGATAGATTTCAAAATGATTTGAAATAAATAAAAAAAAACTGCAAAATTGGGTCACAGAGCAAGTCAAAATTTGGTGCTGTAATTGCAATATTTTAAAATGTCTATAGACATATCTCTCTTTAATGGCATTAAAACAAAATAAAAATTAAATATTCAAATTGAGAATGGTTACATGTATGTCAATTCATATGCCAAATCGTGATAATAGAGAGGTTAAGCATTTGACCGTGTGCGTCTACGTGTACGTGTAAACCTAGAAGTGTTTTTACAAGTACACGTAACTAACATCGTGTTCTGTTTAATAATCTGTACGTGTAGCGGTACGTGTAAAACGTCATTTCAACAAGTCACTTTACAATCCATTTGTATCAATTAATTCTATGACTTTGATTAAAAAAGATACACAGATGTACGTAATAAACTCTCAATATCACAGCAAACACCGCCTGAAAAATATACATTCTATAATTTGGGTTTAAGAAGCTACACGTTCTTTCCTACGTGTACATATAAATCTAAACGTTGTGTACAACTTGTAAAATTATGCGCTATGCAAAACTGATGACGTAAATCGCAGTAAATTAGGGGATTTCCCTAGCTACACGTATACTTAGACGTACACGGTCATCTGCTTAACCTATCTAATATATTGTTTCGTTGAACAGAAATCAGTTGCAGAAGCCAAGTAATCCTTATTTTAAAGGGCAAAAAAAAAAAAAAAAAAAAGATGACGTCGCGTGACTTCATGGAGCAGCGAGGAGCAATACAATTTTGTATTGTACTCCAAAAACTTCCATAACATATTCAGAAAAAGCTGAAAGAAATGGAAAATATATCAAAGGTGTGTATAAATATCACAGGATTCTTTTTAATTTTAGACTCTGTATTGGACAATGAACGGTCTCCAAGGAAATGAATTATCAGTTTAAAAAAAAAAATCTGGTCAAATGCCTCAGAAACATCATGGAAAGGAGTGTGCTCTTCAGAATTGCGGAACTAAAGAAATCAGAGTTACTCGGTAAAAAAATTAAAATGACGAATGAAAACATGACGAATTTATCTTGATAGTCGAAAAAAAGTGTTAGCAAACTAAGAATAAAGTAGCATAGAGATGTTTTCTAAATCAATGGGTAAGGCGAACCCGACTGTATGTGAAATGAAGAGGTACATGTATGGTGGTTTTTTGAGAGACTTCGTCACGTTGTGTTTTTGACGTTACGTTGATTTAGAGTGCTCCTTGATGACACAACAATAATGTAACATGAGTTCTATTTGACAAATAAAATCAAACTGCACACATCCACAAAATAAATGTTTTTACATCTGAAAATGTATGATCTTGAATTTCTTAAAGATAATATGACAAAGAGCGACAATTTACTATTCATTTATTTATTATTATTTTTAATGACCCTCGTACATGCAAGAGTCCTGACAAAAGTTTTGAAAACCAAGTTGGAGCGACTGATTGATAAACAAAGGGAGAGGTAGACGAACAGACGTTGAGGAAACCTTCAGTTTTCCCCGGTTTCACTGCTAGGGGACGGAAAAAAGAGGGAATAGAAAATAAATATAGAGAAAATTGTTATCAACACTAGTTTGATCTTTTATAATTATAGTTATGATATTACTAATAATGTGTTCAGAAGAGAAGCAGAATGAGCTTGTCAACGTTTCTTAATACCCTGTACTATTTTTCATTGCTTGAATATTTTTTTGCAAGCAAAGAAAAACATGCATATTTTGTCATATCAGTAAAAGATATGGCATTTTTTTAGACTCTATTTTCTGGCTTCTAAGTATTTTTAGACTATGGATATAATAATTACTCTGAGTAACTGAAATAGTTTAGGTATGAAAATGTCCAATGTCCTCCCTAACATGGCGATGAGAAAGTGCTACGTTTATTTCCCTTAGTTAATCAAATATGTATAGACGGAACCCAAGGGGATATAAAAATGTGATTTCATCGTTTATCAGTTATTTTGACACATGATTCACACTTGATGTGTTGAATTATATTCAGTCTACGTAGAAAACAGTGTAGATAAATGTCACGTTTTTCCGCCTGTATTCTTTTTTGGAATTTGTAATTGATGTTTTTTTTTAAGAATTCCCTATGAATGTTTTAAGAGCACTATTGAGCAATAGCCTTTCGATAAGTCCCAGTAGAGAAATATCTGTTTCAAAACCCACTCAGAGCGGGTTTAGGCAATTAATGTATTGAACTATTCTGTACAGGCAAAATATTAGTATCACTTCTAAAATGATTTATATACGCCGTTCAAACTTTCATCTTTTTTCTCTTTTATAATTTATAAAACGAAAAAATATTCATGGTCTGTGTAAAACTTGCCTCCTACAATCTTTGTATGACTTTGTATGATTCGTTGAACTATGAAATGAAAAGTCCTTGAATTTCTAGAAACTCGTTCAAAGTCGCACAAAATTTTGAACATAAATGTTAAAAAAAAAAATAATAAAAAACATCGTAAATCTTGCAATGTTGTATATGGATTTTTTTTTTTTTTTTTTTTTTTTTTTTTGACCCTGTTGCTGCTCATTTTTATTCCGAATTTCACACATTTAATGATTACAGCATTACAACAGGTATTGAAAAACTGTGCAGTAATGACATTTATCATCGTACTATGTTTATTGTCATCTTTTGAAATTTTCTGTGTTATAATTGATATAAATAAATTAATTTCATTAAAAAACATATAATTAAGGTGCCAATACCCTCGCCCCTCCCATCACACATTTAAAACAAATGCATAAGCAATTCACACTAAAGAAAAAACACAACTCTTTGAATGATATATATTAAAAGTTATGGAAGAAACTTACTGTTTCAGGGGTCAAAACACTCAAAA